AAAAAATATAATCAAAACATATCTTTAACATTCTTTTGTTGATAAGGAGATTTGATCTGATTTCAAATTGTATTTCTTTGGTCGAGTTTGTGAAAGGTTAAAGCCACCTAAATTGGCTCTCGAGCATTGCTTCCATAGTCTCAGTAAACCCTGGTGACACCATGTTGAAAGATCATGCACAGCCATAAAACAGCTGGCTGTAACACAATTCCCAAAGTGAATCACTTACACTTCCTCAAATCTTTCTGGTTTGAATTACCGTCACTTCCCTTTCTGTGACCCACATGTCATTATTCTTATGTTACTCGTGTTGAATGACCTGCTGACCAAAGTGTGAAATGTCCAGAAATGTTGATGTTGATGTTGTTTTGTGTTAGAAAATATTCAATTCCTTCTACATAGTTAGAAACGTACAGCTCAGTTTCCCCTGGAACACATGATATGCAATTTTGAAAGTTGAAATAAAGACTATCTAATTTTGGAATAAGAGGAGAAACAAACAACAAGGAGAAATACATGATGAAAACGTTCATGTTGGGTTGCTGCGTTTGTGCTTGTTAGAGGTAAAAGAAAAAGAGTGGGACAGAGACAAAAGGAGAGGAGAGTGAGAGAGGGCAAAAGGAAGGAAGGCAGAGGTGAAAGGCAGAGACGGAGAGGAAGGAAGGAAGGAAGAAGGAGAGAGACAGATGAAACTAAACTAGAGAGAGAAGAGGAAAGTAGCCCCATATGAGGCTTTGTGCTGATTACCTGAGTGTGTCTGTGGTTTGTGTGACCCAGAGAATATGGGGGAAGGCCACCAGTTAGAATATACTCAGGAGTGACTGGCCTCCTACTGGCTGGTATGGCTGATAAGACTTCTTCTTAGTTCTGTTTGTATGACAGCAGGGTTAATTGCATTTACATTATAGTAGCAGTATTATACGAGACGTTATATACAAGTGTATACCACTTTAAGAATCCTCAATACAGCTCTATAAGGAAACCCCGTAACGCCAAAGATGGCGGTTGTCCCGTCCCTCCCGCTAGAAAGCCGATCGTCTTCTTTCAACAGCCGAGGCGGGAAACATATTTCACCCAATCGTGTGGTTCCACTGACATAAGGGGTCCATGTGCATGCATCACTACTACTACACATTCACAGTAGAAGTATAACCAGTCGGGAAAAACGCTTTTAAACTTATTTTGTGTCAAATTTGTCAAACTGCAAACAGATTTTATTGCTGATCCTAGTCATGTTGTTTTTATGTCTCGGTGACCAGTAAAAGTGCAGTTCTGGCTCTCTCCCCATTCATTCAGATAGGAGCCTGGTCTTGTTAGTCCTCAGTAGCTGCCCGGAGGCGTTGCTAAGATGGCTGCCGAGTGGCATGACTTGCCTAAAAGGATTTTGATTATACTCAATATACTATCTAATAGGGCTGCATGATATTGGAAAAAACTAACATTGCAATATTTTTCTTTTCTGTTATATATATTGCGATATGAAAAAAATACAGGAAGTTTCACCAGATTACTTCAGTTGCTCTATTTGAAAATAATTGAGCATCCTAAAGCTGATGATACACAGAGCAACTTTTAGAGCAATCGTGCAGGGCAACGTTACCGTCAATGATAATGAGTAAAGATTACTACCGCAATCCCCTTCCCCCACCATTCCGCCACCCGCCCCGCACCGCCCCTATCCGTTCAAAACATAGTCGGACTTGCCACTAGCAAAATTGCCCAGCAACTTTGCTCAAAAAGTTGCCCCGTGTATCATCAGCTTAAAAGAATTGATCAACTGATCGAGAATAATATTGGGATTGCGAGTTCACTGTGGATGCAGAGCCTGCTCGTAACTCACTAGTTAGAAACTGTGTATCCAAGAACTGTCTATGAAGATTCTCAGTCATCCAGGTCATAGTTATCCAACGAAGGTTAAAATCAAGGGCAACTGGACTTGGTTGAAGATACTGGAAGACGTTTCGTCCCTCATCCAAAGGACTTCTTCAGAACTGAAGAAGTCTCAGTTGCCCTTGATTTTAACCTTTGTTGGATATCCAAGAACTCTTAAATCAGAGTAAATGATGTTACATCTGACAAACTTGAAATGAGAACTGTCCAAGTTTTCCTTTTCTATCAAGCAGCAAAAAAAGTTGAGGTGGTTGAGTTAATTTGACTTGCTTGATATTGCACTGTTCTGCGATGTGACTATTGTGCAAGAGCACATTGGGATGACGATTCTCCAGCGATATATTGTGCAGCCCTAATATCAAACCAGTCCAGCCCTTTTGACTCTGTAGTGCCAGTCAGTGAAGGTTCCATGTGAATGGGCTTGGCCTTTCTCACACAGCACACACACTGATACAGACATGCAGCCTTTAAATAGCAGCATCCCTACATGCAGTTCGGAGATGAGAGCTGATCAGCGATGCAGTCCATCCAAGCACAAAGTACACATATGTAAGAGACTGTTCTGTTGGGGACAGATAGAACGACACAGAAGAGGGAGACAGGGGATGTCGTTTGTCCCCTTGCTGTCTGCATTATAAATGTCTCTCTTGTCTATAATTAGCATATGCATATATATTATAGTAACCTTTTCACTGACAATATTTGTGGTGTTCCCTAATTGTGCCACTGTGTGTGTGCGTGTGTGTCAGAGAAGGCACTTGTATCTGGATTTATTTGTGAATGTGTTTGATTCCTAGCACTTAACAGCGTCATGAAGTGTGTGCCTGAGTGTGTGAAACATTGGACAGTGTCAAAAATTGCACAACCTTTCTCCAATTAATTATCTGGTAGAGAGCGGAGTGTGTGTGTGTGTGTGTGTGTGTGTGTGTGTGTGTGTGTGTCAGTGCTGCATATTGTTAATAAGCAGCCCAGCTGAGAGTGGAACATTTCACATTTGTAAGTTGTGGTGGCATCCCAGCCAGCAGACACCACTGAGTCTGAAGGGACAGGAAGGCCATTTCCTTATTTATCACAGTCAGGCCAATGGTTGCTTGTATGCCACAATTCTTTGCAATTATGGAGACAATGTCCTCCACTTGGGGACAGAGTCAAGGCCAGAATGAAAGGGGCCAGTGAGCCTGACACAGTGCATCTTACATCCAATATAAAAGCGTAATATATATGAGAAAAATATCAGCTAGGTTGTTATCTGAAAGGAGTCTGTTTCACAGCTGCTGGTTCAGCAACATTTTCAATAAAGTTTATTGTGAGGCATGTCACAGCATTCCACTAGCTTCAATCTACGGAGCTCAATCTTTCCAGTCTTGAGCTTTAGCAATTTTTAATGCTTTCAAATAGTTCTGGATGCTGTAATCATACCCACCATAATAACTGACAATGCACATTTTGATAGGTTTGAGATGTGTCATCTGATAAACATGAAGTGAGTAAGTCAAGTGATCGATGAACCAAAACTCCCACTTAGGACTTCTATGGCTGTGACATTGAATGGTCTAACTAAGGCACAGTCCCATATAAATTGTAGGAACCTTCCCACTTTGTTAACTTTTCTTTTGTTTCTTTTGCTCATTGAATTCATTGTACTGTGTCCAGCAATTTCCAATCAAATTCTTTCTCCAGATCTCTCTGCCATGACAGTATTCTATATTGAGTGTCTGTCTAAAATACTCCCAAACTTTAGACAGTCTAAGGCGAGTTCTTGTAGCTGGAGCTTGTCCGGGGGAATCCCTGCTAACACCGGATTCAGCAACGCTTCAATGCACATACTGCGAGTCGAAGTATTTATGTAATCGATTACGTTGGCGAATCGACCCAGCCCTAGTTTCAACTGCTGAGTTTCCTTCTTGGAAACTGAAGACTTCTCTTATGTGGATATACTCGACTTAGACGCACAGGTTTCCACACCCTGCTTTCCTCCATGGCCTACTATATAATATAAGAAATTTGAAAGAGTGTTCGATTCAGCTGCAGAGAAAATAAAACATAAATAGGAAAATATTAAAAATGTAGTGTTTATTTTCAAGCTCCCCATCCATCTTTGTCTCGCAGTCTTTCTCTGATTCTCTGCGTCTATACCTGAGTATTAGCTGACTGATTGAGTATAGTGGGATTTGTCATGCCCTCTGGTCTGTTTCATACACACACACGCTCAGAGCCCTGTCATACATCACAGCTTAAAGGCTTATAGAGTCGCTACTTTAGTATCTTGTCAGCTTTCTGACTCATGACAAGGTTTTCAATTTTCCCCTTTTCACCTGACTGCACTTTACAGCTCTGGCTCTCTTTTGTGGCTCTCTCCCTCTCTCTCTCTCTCTCTCTTCTCTGTCCCTTTCTCTCTCTCACCACGCTCCCTGTCTTGTTCTTTCTGACTGCGCCTCTCATGAGAAAATGAAATGATGCCATACGTAGCTGTGTTCAGAATTGAAAACGATATCACAATCCAAGTATTCACTCAAAAGACAGACACAGATTACAGTTGTTGGGCTGATCATCGTTGCGATCATCAACACTTATCAGACCAAGTTGGACCAAATGAGTTACGCTCTGGGCGACCAATATTTAGTGTTTTTGAATTATATTCTTTCACGTTTTGATCTGCCTGTCGTTCCCATCAAGATCACTTTTAAACACTGATTCGCACAGTTGCACCTGTGATTTATGAAGAATATCATCATGAGCCTCCCGGTTTCAGATGATTCACTTGTTTCAGTGTTTTTATCACTACATTAGTCTCGCTTTCCTCAACAACCAGGAAGGTAATATTGCAAATTCTGCAAAAAGAATTTGAATGTCAGGAATCAGGGAGAGCAGAATATGTTTGAATCAGGGAGAGTCATATGTGAGAACTTGTGTTCTTGTGGGACTTGCCGACATGACTAATCATAGTCTTCAATGTGTCTTCAGTACATAGTACTTGTCTATGTGGTTCATTATACTGTAGGCTTATTTTCCTGTTAGGACTGAAAAAACTGTGCATGCAAATCTTTATATGTGAAGTTTTTATTTAGTCTGATGTGACCTTAACGTTTTCATTATGTATGTGTCTCCAGGGTCGTCATGTCAAGACAGGCCAACTGGCAGCTATCAAAGTCATGGAAGTCACAGAGGTAAAAGTGCATTACATTTTCCCCCTGATCTGTCTGTCTCCACCCACTGTTTCTTCTTTGTGTTTTCTATTTCTCATCTTTGGTGAAAACAAGTTTAACATGTAAAATATCAAGTGTAATTAATCTCAACATCGCCAGGCCTATCAGACAATTATACAGTGTAAATTATACATCACATACATTCTTTGCAAACATGGTCCTTACATAAGGATAAAAAAGCAAGCTGACCTGGTCTTATTCTGTGTAGGAGGAAATTAATATATCCATGTAAATTTTCCATGGGCTTTAACGTTTGCATTTATCCATGGGTGCTCAAAATGAAAAAAAAAAACCATAAAAATATTTGACACTGCTGCTTATTTTATACATAAAGTTCAGTTCACTCAACATGAAAAGTACAACAGGAGAAACTGTTGCCAGCATCCAGAGAGACAAAGAGGGAATCAATACAGCCATAAAACATCAGATGAAAAGAGAGGCAGGAAAGGAGATAAGAGAGAGAGAAAGAGAGAGAGACAAAGACCAGCAGTGTTACAGAACTGTCATGATCCACATGGGAATTAGTGTAATTAGTCAGTTTGAAGGCACCGAGCTTGGTTGAGATGTTCCTCGCTGACTCTGTTTCTGTTTAATTGTGGGTTTTTTTTCTTTCAAGTGACAATTTCCCTAAAAAAAGACAAGGTCTGGACTAAATGAGTAGTTTTTTCAGTTTGTCTCTCTTCTGTCTTTTCCCAATTCAGTTCTCTCTCCGCTCTCGCAGGTAATTGAAGCATTGGAACTTTTACGATGCATTTGACATCTTCTCCTAACTCCGTACCCAAAGCATAGACACGCAACGTGGATTAAACAAAAATCTACTTTAATATACCGCTAGCCTGACAAAATGGAATTACATGAAATGGTCTCTTCTTTCTTCCAGTTCTCTGAGTCCCTGCAATATTTCTGTTTTGACCCAGAAGTCGTTTTTATTACATTCCAGGTGAATTTCCTAGATATTAAAGGTGTCTTCACTTTAGAGATTCAAAGCCACAATCTTGGATAGTTTTGGTGATATAAAATATTAATATTTAATATTTTTAATATTTTTTTATTAATGTATTGTTGTTACAGTAAATCAATTTGAGAATGAAAAAATCTCTCTGATGCTATATTTGGAATTTCAGTTTCAGTTATTAATTGTTTACTAAAAAGGGAGTTGACTCCGTGTGCTCTGCCTTGTGGTCTTACAGCTGTACGAGGGGACAGCAGAGGTGTGGAGGTTTTATTGATATCACGGGTTTCCCTGGGTTTTTAGAGGGCCTAGGTGCTGTGCAGCAGTTGTGGGGTTGATGCTCAAGCCCTGATCCAACAGCAAGGCCTGGTGGGGTGTTCATTACACGATGAGTATGTTACTAACTACTATTGTTGTGTTATTGATTGATTGATTTTCCATTACTTTGGGCCAATAAACTGATGAGGGTGATGGTGCGTACGGTAGATGGTTATGAATTCACAGTGTGATTCACAGAATTAACATTTATAACACAGGCAGAGTACTTAGTGACAGTTTCCTACTTATTTGCTAACTACTTATTTGGCACTTAATTATAATGTGAGATGGACATCGTTTTATGAGTGCTTATTATAATTGCGCATTAGTAAACAACCATTATATTTGTGTCAAACTAATTTCCCATTCAGTGAGATTTACACCATTTTACTGGTGCTTGCAACAATCGGTTTAAACCAACCTTTGGCTGGCTAGTTGACAAAAGTTCACTTATTCAGAGGGCTCCACTGCTACACTGTGGTGAATTACGCTTGCTAGGTAGCTCGATAGTTAACAGTCACAATCTTTAAAATTATTGATAAATATGGCCTTTGATTTTGTAGACACCATACACTGGCTGGGGAAAGGTGATAGAGGGAGGGTGATAGTGTAAATGACAATGATTAAAAATTTTGGATATTCACCAGAATAGAATAATAGCTCTCTGTGACTGTTATTTTAGACCAAATTGTTAAAATGTTTGAAAATAACACTAGTTTAAGTAGTTTCTGTGCAGTTTACGTTGTGTTAAATAATGTATTACTGCTTTATACTTCACCACAAATCTGCCTATTGCACAACTGGACACACTAGTTTCTTTCCTGTTGGTGGTACTGGGTCTTCTGTGTTGCAGACAAACTCTTTTGCAGGAAATGCTTGGCTATAATCTCCCTTCTATCTTTCACACACACTCAAACAGTAAGAGAAAGCGAGAGAGAGAGGCTGCAGACACAGGCAGAAGGCTTTGTGTTTCAGACGGAGGTGAAAGTTCAAACTCTGCCTTGTCATTTTCTCCCGTCCTGTCCTCCTGTGGAGATTTAAAGGAGGTCAGTGACTCGGAGAAGCGCTCTGTTGTTTCCTCTTTTCTGATTAACAGCCACATCCAGCTCCTCCAGCTAGACTCTCCTTCCTCTACCTTCGCTTCTTCTACTCCACCTCTCCTCCAGTCCAGTGTAAATTTAGGGGTTCAGTGAATTGGAGAGGCCGCAAGTCGTTTCCGGGATTTATAGTGAGAAAACAAAAACTGCCGCACTCTGTTTCCTCTACTCTCTCTTTCTGTTGTTGCGTCTCATAACACTGACCAACCTTAGTTGTTTTGGTGAGAAACAGCAGTAGTTGAATTAAGGTCTACTGGCTGGGTGAAAGGTCATCTAGAGGTTGCACGGCAGTCTGATTACAGATGCTGTCTGTCGGGACATGTACGTGTATGTATTGTATGGAAATAAAAAGAAAGGTTTTACTAAGTACCAGCTTTCAGTGTTTGTAGAAAAGCCTCAGCAGGATTAAACATGTCTTATTCTTGATGTAGAGAATTCTCAAGAAGAAGAAAAGGCAGAAAGTGAGGGTGGCGATCTAGAGGAGTTACTGTTAAAGCAGAAGTATGACTCTACTCTATGTAGAACTCTTAAAACCATCTGTATGAAGTATGTGTGTGTTTCTGGAGTTGAAAGAGTTGAAAAATTATCCCAACAGAGAAACATGCCTTCTTTCTGCCACTCATAACTACTTTCTGCCCCTCAGTCAATCTAACATTGCTGTTTTCATCACCCATATATACTGTACATGGAGTTTGACTTCTGCTGTATCTGTTGGTATGTTTAGGAAGAAGAAGAGGAGATCAAGCTGGAGATCAACATGTTGAAGAGTTATTCCCACCATAGAAACATCGCTACTTATTATGGAGCTTTTATTAAGAAAGGTCCTGCTGGACAGGACCACCAACTCTGGGTTTGTACACTACTTTATCAGCCCTTTTCTGCCTATATCATTGCTACTGAGTCAAAAAAAATAAAGGAAATTCAAAGTTTTGTTAAATAACTGCTACCCATCTGGGTTTGTTCTGAAATTATCATAGGTTTCTATCATATTATGTGTAGTCTTGTTGTTTTGGCTGGTAACCTGTGTGCCCGACATTTCTGTATGTGTCCCTCTAGTTGGTGATGGAGTACTGTGGCGCCGGCTCTGTGACAGACTTGGTGAAGAAGACCAAGGGGAACTGTCTGAAGGAAGACTGGATAGCTTACATCTGCAGAGAGGTGCTCAGGGTAAGGCTGACGTACAAAACACGCGTGCACTCACCACAGCAATTAACCCACTGCAGAAGTAACACGTAAGAGGGCCGGTCAATCCTCACAAGTGACAGCAGTGTAGAAAACGTGTAGGAAATTCAGTATCACTGGCCCCTCAGTAAACCTGCATTTCAGTTGGTTTATGTATTCATTTGATGCGTCCTCACCACTCCATACAGATGTTTTCGTCTGCTGCTGTTTTTTCAGCTTTGCAGTGGAGCGAAAGCTTCAGCAATGTTTAAGTCACATGCTTCATGTACGTCATGATTCATTCGCTAAGTCTGTTTCCATTACACTTTGTCGCATTTTGCATTTAGACCAAGTTTTCCACCTCAGCCAAGCCGAAAATCTTGTTTGCGACATTTAGACTTTTTTCCAGCGTTTCTACTCAGATTTTCTAATACATAAACTGAAAATGTGCATAAAAACAAGCGGATGGACACACTTTAAGAGCACACTTCTCTCCTTAGGTTTTATGTCCTCTGGCTTATTCATTTGAGTTTTAATTAAGAACCTAATTACTTGTGCAGAAAATGAACCCTTATTATATTTGAAATAACCTCTCTCCCTGTGCAACTCTATGGCATAATGTGCATACGTTATGTAAAGGTGTACCTTCTGTGCTATGTCTGTCCTGAGCACAGACGGCACAAATCCATGTCACTTAGCGTGACCTAGCAGCTGAACCCTCAATTTTGAAATAACTCTCACAAACACAGACAATATACAGAATCACAAGTGAACTTTGTTTCTGAGGTGTTGTTAGGGTAGAGGCCTTTTCAGAGGTAGTAATTTGTGTGTGGATACAAACTAAAGGCTGGATGAGTTGTTGCTGTTGTGTAAGAAACATGATGCTACTTTTAGTAGTTGGACTCTTTGCCAAAACATCAAAGAGATAGAAGCCAAACCGACACCGAGTTCTTTATGTTCAGGGATCCGTATCTCCCTCATGTTTTGCCCCTGTGACTCCGGGGGAATAATTGATTTATTTTTTCATTTATATACTTTAAAGACCAGTTCAAAACATGTCTGTAAGATGTTATGGTTATCATTACAAGAGATCAGAAGGTCCTGAGAAAGACTCTGGGATGTTTGCACTGCTTTCTGTGTTGGCGTTTGTGGTTCTGGTAACAAACACACATACACTAACAGCATATCAACTTACATCCTCTCAGTTCCAACATATCGGCCCTTGATGCTGACGTTATCAAGGACAAAATAAAAAATGAGATGATTTTTTAGTAGTAAAAAAAAACAACCTGAGAGACAAAGGGCTGTGGACTGTCGCCAGTGTTTTCCCTGCTGCTGTCAGCCATGATGTCTCCTCATTGTTTCGACACCACAGCATACACACAAACACACACACATACTCAGCAAAGCATGGTGAAGTCATTGTCTGAAATAAGACTCACTTCCTGTTTATTTAACCTCCTTTGAAGAACCGAGAGTACAAACACACACAGACAGACGCATTGAAACTGTGCCAGTGATTGGTAGCCGGTGCTACTAGGCCACCCTGCTACCTAAAGCAAAGTTATTTAGACCTTTGTTGGAGGGGAACAGCAGTACAACAAACCATCCTTCAAAATAAACACATAATGCTACTACTCTTTTAAAGGGGAGTTTGCGGCTTCGTATTTATAGTAAAAATGGTCATCTGACTCTGTGTGTATCTGTGTGTGTGTGTGTGTGTGTGTATTTATTTTCCAGGGTCTTTCCCATCTTCACTCCCATCATGTGATTCACAGAGACATTAAGGGACAAAATGTTTTGCTCACTGAGAATGCCGAAGTCAAACTGGGTATGACACATTGTGGTTTCTCACACACATCGACGCATCCCTCCAGGCAAATCTGAGGAATAATCACACTGTCATACATACATACATACATAAATCACACAGCCGCAGAAACGCATCATAAAGAAGCAAAGATGGCGGTTGATTTGAGACGTGAAATTGTCCTATGTTTGTTTTATGTTTCAGTTGACTTTGGCGTTTCGGCACAGCTGGATAAGACGATCGGTCGAAGGAACACCTTCATCGGCACTCCCTATTGGATGGCCCCAGAGGTCATTGCTTGTGATGAGAACCCTGAGGCCACATATGACTACAGGGTACTTAATCCAGCCGACTTTAAGCAAAGTGTTTGTAATCATTTATAAGAAGTTGCAGAAATACTGAGAATGAGGTTAGTTTCCATTTACTCAGGTGACTTCATCGTTTTGGTGAATGTAAGGCGCCCATCAGGAAATCAAACATTAAATATTGTAGAAGTTCTTGCCATTTTATATTAGCTAATGCTAAAATGTGATGTTCTTCCAAGGTACAAAATATGAAATGTAAAGGGTAATAATTTAATGTAGCAATTACGAATTCCCACGCAACAGCGCGTACATGGAAGAGACTGCGACTGAGATTGGGATGAACGGTTAGACTGAACTAAGGCCCTGTTTACACATGTCATGTCAGTGACAAACAGTAAACTTAATGCACTTTGTTCACACAGTGTCTACACAGCCAGTGTAGCGAAAGCAGCATGTTAGCAGAGCAGCAGTCTTCCTGTTGTCACAAACCGGCTCAAGGAATGTTACAAGGAGGAAGTCACCCATACAAATCAGTGCTCTCTCACCCACACAATTAATTCAGTGGTAGTACTGATCAGGTATCAGATAAATACTACAGCAGCTTGGTGCTTATTCTGTATGACTGGATGTGTTGAAATCACCGGAGCTATTTCCTTCCTGTTAGATTACCTATGTAATTGGATTTTAATCGATGTAAAATGCTTCTCTGATGCATTTTTTGATATTTGACAGCTATCCCATCCGTCCAAGCTGCATGAAGTGTTAATGGGGTTTAAGCCTTCATATGTTTATGCTCAACATAAGAGGTTCAGTTATTATGTATTGCTTTTGTTTTTATTCTTTTATTTTATTTAAATCATCAGAAAATACATTGATTGTGAACCCCTGTTTACAGTGTTGCCGAGGTGCATACATACAATTAGAACAGACACAAATAAAATCATCAAAGCTAGGAGGTAGCGAAGAAAGAGACTAATCAAGGTAAAATCAACAATGTTGAAGGGTAGAAGTACCGGAATTGACAATGTGACAAATAAAGAAATAAAGCAATAAGAACAATTAAAAATTAAAAGCAATCACAATTGCTAAAAATACATTAACAATTGAACTTTGTGTCAGCAGTATTAATGAGGTCATTTTAAAGTGTCTTTGAAGCAAATTCCAAGTATGTGGGGGCACAGTAACTGAAAGCACATATTCCTGATTATCTATTATTGTTCATAACAGAATTTCCTTACAGACAGAAGTTTCTCTTCACTCTTCCTGATTGGATGCAGTGTATCATAGTTCGATTTAGAATTAAGACACGGACTTTTGAAATCCAGTACACCATTGAAAAGATTCCCGTGATTCTTCGATTCTTTTGTAAAATGGCAGAAGTTTGGCTTGAAGTCCTGGAAATTGTTTGTGTAATTCCTGGATCTGGACACTCACACTGTGCACACACTAATTTACTGTTTGAATATAAAGAGGACGTCCAAAGTTTACAGGAAATGAATAAAACTCAAGATAAGCTTTGCATTTGTGTGCATTGGTCTTAACCTTTTCCTGTCTCTCTCGCTCTCAGAGTGACCTCTGGTCTTTAGGTATCACTGCTTTAGAGATGGCTGAAGGAGCCCCTCGTAAGTTAGAAATACACCTACACATACACACATAGTTGATGGATATCGTTGAACAGTTTGTTTTTCTGTGTATATTTCCACTCAGGATTCATTTCCCCTCTCTTTTCCGTATATCCCTTCATTCTCATCCCTCTCTCTCACTTGCTGTCACTGTCATGCTCTCTCCCTCTCTTTCTTTGTTTGCAGCTCTGTGTGACATGCATCCAATGAGAGCACTGTTTTTGATTCCACGAAACCCTCCACCCAAACTTAAATCAAAGAAATGGTAAGCCTACGAACACCTCACACACAGAAACACGCACACACACACACAGACAGTAGGATGTCGTGGGCAGTGTTTAGGTTTTCTCTTCTGAAAACAGGGCTTGAAAGTGGTCTTTGTTGTGGGTTTCATGCATCAGACAATCAGACAACATATGTCCCTCTCTATGAACTCTCTTCTCACAAAGAAACTGAAAGCTCAAAGTCACTGGCACATTCAACAGCAACAAGATATGCATTTGTTTTTATTAAAATGGACACAAAACACATATGTTATATATATATATGTATATATTGTTGCTGCCATTTCAAATCATAATCAGAGTTTTATTATTAACTCTCTAGCGTTCCCCCTCCTCTTCTGTCATCCTGCATAATTCTCTTCCATATATAATGGATAAGCTCTCAGATCGAACTGGTGGCTGAACTCGAGCTGTCTTTCATTCAGTATTAATGTCATCAGAAACACTAGTTCGTAGGACAGCTTTTAATAGCAGTCTGGGTTTTGTGGTGCCTTCTAGTCCTTTTACCTCAGGGCCTCCCGAAGGCGGCAAGTACACCAAAAACAAAGCAGCAACACATTTTCCCCCAGTTTTTCTATGAGTTCAGAACACAGACAGCACACTTCTCGACTTCTAGGAGTGTTTCTGTACTCAGATATTACGATAACCTTCACTGCAACATTTTTGACAGGACTGTCCTTGGTAATAATCCAACAGGTGATTACTAGTTTGCATACTCTAGGTGAGTATTTAAACATTTGGTGGCATGTTATGGAGGCTGTCATCTATTGGTTATTATATTGGTTTGTTACGTCACTGTTAGAAATGTTTTCCTAGGTCTCTGTTTTCATGTGACTCTGACTGCATATTGATTTACACATTATCGTAGTTTGCTCCACTTCTTTTGTTTATTGACTTTATACAGTCCTTTTGGATTGCACTTCTTTTTTGTTTTTTTAATTATGGTCATCATTATACAAAGTCAACCTATTGAACTAATGTAGTGCAGGTATGGCTTTGTGGGTTACATGATTGGTGGTTGCTGTGTCAAATTGCTCCTCAGTTTATTTTTTCGACCGCTTTAAGCAGGCCAATTTGCTTTACAGATGATCTAGCAAACTGCAGTTTTGAATACAGTAACATTATTTAATTAATTTATATGGATTTAAGGATAATAATGTTCCAGTAACTGAGCAGGACTGTGTATGTAAAGACTAACTGGGGGCTTAAAACCTAAAACCTGAATTAATTAAAAAGCATTCAATATTGCAATTGAGTTACGGCACATTAAACAGATAAAACTTTACACAATGTATGTTTTTACAACATTCTTAATCTGTTAAATGCCAACATGTTTTGCACCCCCTTTCCTTCACCCTCTTTCTTTGTCTGTCTCTTTCTGTCTTTCACAGGTCGAAGCGTTTCTTGTCCTTTGTTGATGGTTGTCTGGTCAAGAACCATCTGCATCGACCCGCTACTGACACCCTGCTGAGGCACGCTTTCATCAGAGATCTGGCTAATGAGAGACAAGTTCGCATCATGCTCAAAGATCACTTGGACAGAACCAGGAAGAAAAAAGAGAAAGGTGAGCAGAAGTGGATGCAGTAGATGTATCAGGAGCGGATGTGCGAAGGGCTAAAGAAAACGAGGGAGGGATAGATGGAAGGATGGCTAGAGGGACTAACTGTTTGTTTATTCAAACTTCACAGCAGCTGATACGATATTCAGCTGATACGCTTTTGTAAGGTGACTTATAGTCATAATGATGATCCTAACACAAAACACATACAAGCAGACATACACAAAAGTGGGCATGTATTTTCAAATAAAGACACAATTATAATATAGACACACAAAAACACACTGTAAAACAAAAACCCACAAGGCACACACAGGCGGATTCTATGAAACACAGATAAAGTGCACCTGTCCTGATTTAACACCCAGATTTATTTCATCGTCTCTGTCCTACATTATTTTAATTATTTTTAGGTGTTTGAGAGGTGATTCTCAGTCGTGGGATTTGATACATTCTTTGGATAACTAATGAAAATTCAGAAAGGAGTACTAATATGCCACTTCACCGAACAGATTTTCCATTATGTTTCACAAATTCGCTGCATTAGGTGGGTTTCAGGCCTGCTTGTAGAGGAATAAGAACTACCAACACACTGTAGCTGAGAGAGTGCACCAACTGCACTGATGGCATGGCAGCTGCTTTGCTCAGACTGTCAAAAACACAACAAAAAGCATTTCTGCTTATTTATAGCACTCTGTTTTAGGTTGCTTGTGTTAGCCACAATTTACACAACTTCCTTTGCATGTATTACACTGTTCTGTATCTCCATTCATTTAGCTAAAGTAAGGCCACCCTTTCTAACACCTAAACCTGCCCAAGTGCACCAAGACCAAAAAGTGCTGTTGATATATGCATTTGATCACACCTCTTAAAATGCAGTTTATACACTATTACTGATTGGACACCAGTTTTCCCTAGCCAACAAAGCTTTTGAATTTGAATTTGAACTGTACGAGTTCTGCCAGATATTTAAATTGAGTTGAATACAGAGAGAAGTGAGGAGGGGCGACAGTAAGACGGCCAGATAAAATGAACAAGTGAGCGAAAGAGGGGGAATGTTGCTTTCCCTTCTTTTTCTACAGGATTCAGTTGGGACAACGTTTTATACAACAGAGAGACACAGAAACGGAAAAGGAGGACGAGGAGAGACAGGGGGGGGGTGTAGAGACATAGAAACGAGAGACAAATTAGGAATATAGAGGGGGGTCAGGGGAATTTCATCCTCCTCCTGTTCTAAAAATGAATTATACTCTGGATGAGTTGCATGTGCTGAATACGTGATGGCAGTCAGACTGTGAGAAAAAGAGTTAGGGGAGGGGAAGAGAAGACGGAGATATTTATGACTTCGCTCTTCTTTTGTTCTCTCGCTGATATTCAAGCAGTATAAGAAATCCTCGTATTGCCCGTTAGGCTCATTCGTCTTCATTCGGGGACGAGAGACAGAAAGAGACAGTGATTACAACAGAGAGAAAGAGAGAGAGACACAGAAACAGACCAGAGGAGAGAGTAAGAGAGAGAAGCAGAGAGGAAGGAAGGAGGAAACAGAATGGCCATCTGGTTCTAATCTTCTGTTCGCTTATAAAAACACACTAATGACTGTTAGACTTTCTGCATGCTGCATGTGTTGTGTGTCTGTGTGTTCAGGCAATGCGAGATTTGTGTGTGTGTGTGCCCTTATGCCCCTCCACATTAATGACAGGTAGTGTAAGTGCGTGTGGGAAAAAGTCAGTGCTCCGGACATGATGCAAAAAGGATGTGTCATTTTCAGCGGACCCAAGAGTGTAGTTTGGACAAAGATGGTCTATATTTTGGAAGATGAATCACTCAAAAAAAAAAAAAGGCACACTTCTCGGTTAGTAGGCATTAACCCTCAAATTGCTCTTCTCTCCTGCAGCTTCTGCTCAGAATGACATGAGCCAAAAACATGACATCAGAGCAACATAGCAGAGGTTTCCTCTGTCCTTTGTAAATGTAGAATTTGTTAGTCTCCCTTCTTCTTTCTGTTTTAAACAACAACACCTGTATTGTGTTACCTTTCAGCGTGTTAATGGCAACATAAGGCGCGTCAAAGAAATGTTCAAGCTACTTTCACACCATATGTTGGCCAAATGTTGTAACGCTAAGCCGGCTGGCCCATCTTCCTGGCCTTCGGACAATAAGCCCCCCTGGAACATTTTTCGGCCGTGTAGTGATTTTGGTGTGATTTGATGCCTGGAGACTCAGAAAGACTTTTCAACGTTCCTATCCACAATTCAACAATTTGATCTGATATATATTATCCATTTAAAAACAGCTGAACCAAGATGATACTTCCATTACACTGAGCTGTGAGCAGTCAGCCAGCTCAGGCAGAGAAAGACACTGATTCACATGTGTTATGGGTCCCATGGTAGGAGGCGCATGTAAAAGGGAGACAAAAGTCTTTGAGTGAATGCACTGGGTCAGGATTGAAATGATTCAGCATTGCAGTTCTAAAGCCATGGGATTATAACTCTGTCCCATATGTCTTACACCAAACAAGACTTTCTCATTTACTTTCTTGTTGCCCAAGTTTGCCCACACTATACTTTAGTGTGGCTTTGATAATGACAAAATTGCTGCCGGCAGTAGACGACGAAGAAGCGAGACTGCAGCCACGGAGGAATTTTTAATGAAACAGTGGCTGATTCAGAAAGCCAGAGAGACAGTGCCGTGCGCCAGAAAAGAATAGCCACAGCAGTGCAAACACATCAGAAGCCTTCGCTCCAAGCACCACCCGTGACCGGAACTTATTTCTGACAAACACTGAGCGCAGTCGAGAACCTGCTAGGTTCACACTCAGACATCGTGTTAACATGGACGCCAGAGGGAAGTGGGACACATTCCACAAGTGCTCTGCAGCTGGTGGACGTCTACTGTTACATGTTCACATGTTTAGATCCACTCTGCTATCAGGGCTGCAACTAAGAATTATTTTCATTATTTGTGGATTATTGTCAAAATTAATTGATTTATCAAGTCTATATAATAATATTAGTCCAGCATAATCTTAGAATGTCCCAAAGATATTCTGTTTACAATGATGCAAATGAAAGACAAGCAGAAAAGCCTTATTTTGGAAAAGCTGGGGCCAGAGAAAGGAATGTGATTTTGTTAATTGATTATCATAATAGTTTAATGAATTTTCTTTGAATCGATTCATCGACAGATTGTTTCTGCTCTAACAGCTTTCTCAATAATTAGAACAAAGGGGGGTGGGGTAAATTACTAACAAATATTCTTTCTTTCTCTCGCTCTCCCTTTCTTTCTCAGAGGGTCCAGAGTACGAGTACAGTGGCAGTGAAGAAGAGGAGGACGAGGTGACGGAGGAGGAAGGAGAACCCAGGTAAAAGCCTTTTCGCACTCAGCAGAAATGTTGTCGGAGAAAGTGATCACGTGGCGTGTAATGAAAGACGGCCCACTTAGCTACCAAGAGACAGGATAAGGCAGCGAGTATACACAGCTAATAATTCCAGGTGAAGATGCAAAACATTGTCTAAATGATTTTTATCAGTGGTTATCGGGGGATTAACACTAATGTCATTATGAATTCTCCTTACATACTAATGAATCACTACAGGCCATGCGTGAGTGTGTGTGTATGTCCATAGACAGATGCACTAGCCTCTCTGTTGCTGTCCCTGGACATCAAACAGCAGATGGCACTAGGAGCTGAGCACTTTCTACTAGGGCAAGCTTTAAGCGTGTGTATGTGTGTGACTCCTTCTCTTTCAGCTCCATAGTGAATGTTCCTGGTGAATGGACATTAAGACGGGAGTTTCTTCGTTTACAGACGACAGATGATCGTGAAGGGGGCAGAGAGGGAGGCCACGGAGGAGGTGGAGGTCAGCAAAGACAACAGGTAGGTTTCCAGTTAGTATGCAGCCCTTTACACATTAATTCATATTATAGTAATGTAGTAGTAATGAACAGTAAATTACAATGACATCATCTGACATCATTATTGTTTAAAACAAAATATAGTGCATGAAATTTAGTCCAGTGTAATTGATGGATCATTTCCGTTATTTCAAAAGCAAAAACGCCAAACATTCACTGGGTCCAGTTTCTCATTTGTGAGGATTTGCTGTTTCTCTTTGTTTCTCTTTTTATATATGACAGGCAATAGAATATCTCCGGGCTTTGGCCTGTTGCTAGGACATAACAAGCAAATCAAAGACGTCACTATGGGGTCTCAGAAATTCTGAATGACATTTTTTCACTTCACTAATTTTGAATGTTTTATAGGTAAAAGGTAAGGTAATAACAGTTGGGTGTGCTTTCAGCACAGCAGGTTGATTAATTTCATTTATTTAGTTTAGCATTTTATCACACAAGAAAATCATCTCAACTCAAATGGGAAAAGTCAGCATGTAAACAAAAGTGACTCTGAGCTCTAATCCTTTTGTTAAACTCATTAAGCCATTAGCCTTCAGTCTTGTTAAAGTATTTGGTGTACATCTTCATATCACAGTTGGAACAGCAGGCCATTTGACCCTGGATCAACATAATTCAGTTTTGGTTAACAGCTATTTTATCACAACATATTTAACCTTTCAATCAAAGACTTCAGAGCGTGAAAAGCTAACTATGTCCTCTTCATCGTATGATAATTTTGTGTAGGCATTACAGCTGCACAGGCAGCAGTTGGCAGAGCAGGAACGATACAAGCAGCAGCTACTGGCTGATAGACAGAAGAGGATCCAACAGCAGCACGAGCAACGGCAGAAGTTAGAGGATGTAAGTACTGCTTAGGCACATGTTCCCTCTATGTTTGTTTCATTTCAGAGGAAGAGAAAATCAGTGTAAATGCATTTTATCAACTCCATGTTTACAAGAAGCACTTCAGTGTCACCTTCTACCTTCAGAGTCACATCCTTACTCAGCGCCTTCACCCTTGGAAACATTTATTTCTATGAGACTATGTGATCCCACATGCAACCTTTACAACTGTGTGTCATGATGATCTAGGAGCTGTAACTTTATTGCAGGTTGTTTTAATAATGTCAACTTAATGCCTATAAATAGAAAATGGATATATTTTTACCATGTAAACAAAAAACGGAACAAGAGCACTTACACTTGCCAAATAGTACTACTTCATGTTAATGTAAATGATGTTCGCTTGACTGTTTCCAGCAACAGAGGCAGCAGCTGTCAGACTGCGCCTTTCAGTGGGCGGAGCTGCAAGAGATCCTGCTTGGGGAGGAGTCAGATCTCCATAACAACAGTATCTTTCTGGATGACAGAAACCGGAGGAGTGACAGGAAACAGGTAAAGATGGACTTCTGGTTTTTACTCGTCACTAGATACGACTTTTTCTCCTGCATACCTTGCGATCTTTTACAATGTACTTATGTGTATATATTTTAAACCATAACAGTGACTGGGCTCTAGGAATGGTGCTTCTGTTTGGTCTGTCTCCATGCTTTTATTCTGATTGCAGAAGCTTCATATCGTGAAATGAATTTCTGGTGTTCTGGGGACAGATCCTATTGACTTTGGCGATACCTGACATCAGGGCTGTGTGATATGACGATATATATTGTTTGACGATAAAAAAAACTCTCTATCACTTACAATTATTCTCTATTGTTTATTTTGTTGCGTCCCAAATTCCACACTTTACCTTAAAATTTTTGCGAGGGGAAATGGGTAAAACTGAACAGGAGGACTCAGACCATGCAAGCAAAAACGACAACACCATTCAAGCAGTTCCAGCCATGTCAGGTAACGTTAAATGACTCGCCCACGGACTTTCAGCTTACTTTCTAGTTTACCAACATATTCTGTTGTTGTGATGTTAGCTATAGCAGCAGGATAGTTGTGAGTATTGCTGTCTGGGGCTGCTGTGTTGGCTCAGGGGCCGTCTCCTGCTCTCATGTTAGCTTTGGAGCAGCAAGCAACATGGTATTGGATTTCTCCAGAATCGCTTACCCCACCTTTATGATGCAGAGAAATATCACAAGTTACTGTTGGAAGTCTGCAGTATTAAAGCAACCTTATGTAGTAATTATATCTCAACATAACAGCTTAATATTTCTTTCGATGGTACAGTGACTTGTAATAGGGTGAATGGCGTCAGTGTCATTGTGACATTTGAATCCTGGGTAGGACATTAATCTGAAAATGGTGTAATTCTTGACGGCACCAAGTCACACAACAGCACGACTCTTTCATCAAGTAAGCTATAACAAGAAGCTAGCTCGGTATTCTCAGTTGGGAAATCATGGCAGAGGTTGCCAAGAGACAGAAGAAGATGTCGTAGGAAGCTAGGAAGAGAAAAAGGGAGGAAGACTGAGCATGAGTAAATATCAGACTGGCTATTCGTTGGTTGAGCTGCAAGAGCTGAAGGATGCAAGAAAAATGCCGAGCTAGCTTTCAGCTGTTGGACTAGTCAGTAATAACTTATTAGCTGGCTTGCTATGTCTGGTGTAGTTACTCTTGCTTGAATTTTACGTTAGCTATAAATCTTGAGCTGATGTTAGCAAACTTACTAGATAACACATTCAGACATTAGTAACGTCACTATGAGTGCCCTTGCATCAGTTGCTGTCTAGCTTTGCTTGCTAGCTTGCCACCCAAGTTGGAAGGAATATTATGCTAATGCTGGTGGATCATAACTGGGCTCAGCAGACTCTATGGACATAACATTACCTAATGGCAGAGGCAAAAACATTAACCGAGTAAGCTAAGAAGAGAAAAAGAGAGAGTGAACAAGAGGCTCACAGATGTTTTCAAGAGTGAACTAAAAGGCTGCGAGACAGCTGGCATTCTTTCTGTTGGAATAGTAAGTGATGTTGCTGTGTCTTGTGTTGTCGCTCTTGCTTGATGTTTGGCTGTGTTGGCAAAGTTGTTGTCTTGCTAGTTCATAAATAATGTAAACATAACAAATGCAGGGGCGCCAAATCACAAAAAACACCAAATCTTAAATAATGTTGCTTTAAGTTGCTTCTTTCTTTCTGTGTTGCGTGTCCTTAACTTTTGTTTCTTTAACACCTTATAAAAGCTGACATAAGAATTAAAACACTACGTCATGTATGAATGATAGGACGTATATGTGATATAATCTGACCTTTGTGCCACGACTGTCTTGGCCAGTCACACCTTAGATACAAATGGATAAAACAGGCGCCGGTCTAGATTGTTTGTGATGTGTGTAGCTGATGTACAGTAGGACCAACGTTACATAAGTCTGTATTTACCAAAAACCCAAGTTACCTGTCAGAAGGAATACCTTGTGGCAGGTGACTGTGTGTGTGTGTGTGTGTGTTCAGCTCTATGAATATTTGATGCTGCAGTGAGTTAACATGAACTTGTTTTCCTCACAAACTCTGTAAGCTCAAGGTGTTTTTGATGCATGCTGCGCTGATGTAGTGGTTGCACCTGTCAGCCTCTGTCACCCAGGTGATAAAAACATTCTCTCCTGGACGCGGCAGGCCAGAAGTGGTGTGTGTATATGTAAAAAAAGAAAAAGATATATATGAATTAAATAGTCATGTCACAGCACTTTCAGGGGTTTTTGCAAATTAATTGTAGATTGAATATGTTTCAGAAATCCTTTGTTTTGCTTCTGTTCTGTGGATACCAGTTTGAAGAAGGTCTTTTACTTCCTTAAAGATGATATAAAAACAGTTTTTATCTTGTTAAAACTTAATTTATAACATCATACAAATCTGTTGGAAATGAAAAATCTCTTTCTGTTTGAAGTGTTTCAGAGCAACAGTTGTGTGTCCATGACTCTGTGTGTGTGTGTGTGTGTATGTGCGCGCATACACACTGAGCCAGGGTGAAGTCATTTTAAACAAAGACACATAGCTCGTTCTACTTTCTTAAAGTTTCATTTGTAAGTCATTAATTTTAACACATTCTTAATGAATCCATCCTACACACCAGTGAGTTTAAATAGGTGTAAATTAACACCGAGGAGCAGGTTAGCGTCTGTGTTCGTGTAGAAGACACTGGATTTCAATGCTATTAATATCTGTCTAGTTATATTATATATCTCTTTGGCGTGCTTTTGTGTGTACGGCAGAGAGCTATCTGTACATATTAAATTCTGATTACACAGATTGCCTCTAAGTCTAATTAAGTTCAGCATGCTTAATGCTTAATACTGATGCGTCATTAAGTTTTAATGTATGTGCATTGAATTATGTGACAGGTTCAGTGAGTGTGTTATGTGATGTCTTGTATTTTGTCAGATGAAGAACTTGTCTTGGTGCTGCGGTTCTAATCATTTCACACATTGATTGATTTAGCATCACATAACGCATTTCAGTGCAGATTAAAGAAGTGGCCAAGTGCAGGGTTTGAAACTCCACACTGCTCAAGCAAAGTGAACGATCAAGGGTGCAATTAGCAACTGTGTTGAGAAAAAAAACCCACTTCCTTAACTGCTTTGTTATTATTATTTGAAAAAGTGGGCAGTGTGATTTCCCTTACAGACTGGCAACCTGTCTGTGGTCTAGCAATGCATGCTGGGAGATGTTCCTGCCCCGTGTGACCCTGAACAAGATAAATGTATATAGACAATAGATGTTTGGTAAAGTGACTTACAGTGTTACCAGAGCTGTTATTAGTCACAGTACTGTAACTGCTGTTACCTGGCATGCAGCAGGTACATGGTTTATGGTTAGGTGGAGTTTTGCCTGGTTTATGTTGTTTGCTAGCTATGGTGTTACAAACGTACTAGTAAAACTGCCCAACATTTATTGGTTATTACTTGTCAAATGCTAAACTTGATGTACTTGTTATTCTCATTTCATTATTATAAGAAGAATATCCATATGAGTTTTTAGCCATGCTAGCAGCGTGTTTCTCAGGATGGCAGTGACGGCTGGTCAGCCCACCACTTTAGTCCAGGTTACAGGAATCACTTTGGTGGTCACTATGGGTTTGACATTTTTGGTTTTGAGTGTATTGTCTCATTTAAATAGATGGATTGCCATGAAGTTTGGTACAGATGTTCATGTCCCCCACAGAATGAATTGCAATAACAAACTCCTTCCTTATTATCCAGTGCCATCATCAGGTCATTTCCTTTGATTCTTGTTCTGTTTAGTGCTAAGCAGAAAATGTTAGCATGTGAAACTACTATATATGCCAAACATCTGCATATTAGCGTTGTCTTTGTGAGCATGGCAGCAAGTTGGTGTTAGCATTTATCTCAAAGCTCTGGTTTAGGCAGGGTCGGCTAAAAGACGTACTTGCAGACCCCTGACAACATCTCTACCTTTACAGTGGACAAATGCAACTCCTTTCAGTCTTTCTTTCAATCTAAAATTAACACTATCTACAGCAACTTCACTACTTCCCCTGTCCCCTCAACCCCCCCACCTGCCCCCACCCCCCACACTCTCAGTCACTGTCTTGTTTCTCACCTCTATCCCCTTTAGAACTGTCACAATTCACCACAAAAATGAATAACTCCACCTGTAGCTTAGACCCCATTCCATCATCCCTAATCAAGACCAGCCTTCCATCCATCACCCCACTCATCATCAAAATCATTCATTCCTCCCTCACATCTGGATCAGTCCCCACAACACTCAAAGTTGCAGCTGTCACCCCCATTCTCAAGACACCTGGTCTCAACCCCAACATCATGTCCATTTTCCGACCTATCTCCAATCTCCCCTTCCTATCAAAAATCTTACAACGTGTCGTCGCTGCTCAAATTCAAACCCACATCACCACTAATAACCCGTTCGACCCATTTCAATCTGGATTCCGCTCACAACACAGCACCCTAACAGCCCTCCTCAAAATAACCAATGACCTGCTCCGGTCACCTCACCATCCTAATCATGCTCGACCTCACAGCAGCCTTCGACACCATCATCCACTCTTCTCTCCCGAATGGAAACTTAGTCCAGTATTACTGGCACCGCACTCTCCTGGCTCCGCTCCTACCTCACCAACAGACAACAGTTCATCAACATCAATAACTGCACCTCCTCCACTGCTTCTTTGTCACAAGGCGTCCCCCAAGGTTCGGTGCTTGGTCCTTTCCTGTGCATCATTTACATCCTGCCACTCATACTTAGATATGGTCTCCACTTCCACTGCTACGCCGATGACGCCCATATCTACATCTCCACCAAATCCATCACCACAGTTACCTCTGCAACTCTGACCAACTGCCTCACCGACATACAAATCTGGATGCAAACCAACTTCTTACAACTCATTTACAATAAATCTGACATGATCATCATCGGCGCCAAATCACTCACAAAAAACACCAACAACTTCAGCCTTTCCATCAACAACTCCAACTTGTCTCCATCCCCACACATCCGCATCCTTGGAGTCATCTTTGACAGCAACCTCACTTTTGATCACCACATCAACCATGTCACCAGGACTGCCTTCTTCATCAGCATTCAGTACAAAATCCTCCTCCTCACACATAAAGCCCTCCATAACAAGGCCCCTTCCTACCTCACAGACCTGCTCCACCACCACAATCCCTCCCGTAACGCGGAGGTTGCCCTGACACTAACCTCCTCTCACCACAAATCAGGACCAAGCACCGTACCTGGGGCGACAGAGCTTTCACCATTGCAGCCCCCTCCCTCTGGAAATCCTTACCCATACACATCCGAGATTGCAGCGACATGGACTCCTTCAAATCACTTATGAAAACCCACCTTTTTAGACTAGGTTTTAACATCAAATAATGTTATATTACACCTGCTGCTGTTTGTTAGTTTATTTATATGGTCGCCACTTGCTCTTATGTATTTCCGCACCACATGTTTGTATCGACTGTTTATATATTTTATATTATGCTATTTATGTTTTTAATCGGTTTTCAATGTACATAACTTCTGCTTTTACCTGTAAAGTGTCTTTGAGTGTCCTGAAAAGTGCTATAGAAATAAAATGTAGTATTATTATTATTATTATTAAACTTCCTCACAGAAGTTTTGCCATCCAGTTAAGCTGCCGCTTCAGCTTAAGCTCTGTTCAATGTGACCTTTCACATCTAAGCCGGATAAACACGATCTAAAGGCAATGGTGCAACCACTGCAAATATTTAAAGTAAGGAGATTTAATTAAAGATTTTTAATGTAAAAATACGCAGTTTGGACATACAAGGATTTTTCAGGACAAATTCATAAAGAGGTCATAATGAAATATTTAGAGTGGAGGGCGTTGGCTAAAAGCTCCATGCCATCTTGCACACTGAATATTTTAGTTCCCCACCTCTCAGAATTCTGCTCAAGACCTTAGTATACTCTAATTAAAGTAAGCCTGTGTGTGTGTGTGTGTGTGTGTGTGTGTGTGTGTGTGTGTGTGTGTGTGTGTGTGTGTGTATGTGTACTGCTATTCTTGTGAGGACCTTACAAGACTACAATAATGTGGAATGAGGCCATTTTAGAGGTTTTCGGGTGAATTGTAGTGGTAGGGTTTAAACAAAGTCATGGAACATACTTTCAGATATCTTAATACAACTTTGTGGCTATCTGTTCGTGTGGGTGTGTGTGGGTGTGTGTGTGTGTGTGTGTGTATGTGTGTCTTCAACAGGAACAGGCAGGCAGACAGCGAAGTGCCGATGTGTCAGTAAGGCCTCTGGGCTCCACAGCAGAGCAGGTAACAAACCTTCACTCTCTATATTTTTTACTTACTTGTCATCCATCCCTCAATTTTTCATATGAGTTCGGGCAGGTGGAGTTTCTCTCGAAATATTCTGAACGTGGGCTGATTTGTGTGTGTGCTAACTGCTAACCTTTCAGGAGGACGTTCTTTCTTTCTTTCTTTCTTTCTTTCTCTCTCTCTTTCTCTCTCTCTCTGACTATGTTTCTTGAAAGGTTTCTATCTCTTGTGATTGTCTCCTTTTTGTTTGTTTGTTTGTCTGTCTTCTTAATGTTTGTGTTTTCGGAATTCCCTATGTTATCTGTTGCCTGTTTTATCCATTAATGCTAACATGTGTAGGGAACGATGCAGCATCATTCTAGTGATATATATATATATATATATATATATTTATGAATAGTTGCATCGTCCTAATGAGCGGGGAATAGATGTAGAAGTGAAGAGATTAGATAAATTACTTCACTGACAGAATATTAATCTGCCAAACCTTCTCGTGTTCCATCTTCTCAGATGTGTGAATTAGCTTTTCTTTGTCTTATGTCATAGTAAACTTAATTTTCTTTGGGTTTTAGACATCTCCTTGGGCTTTAGAACTTTGAGATGAGCATTATTCTCTATTTTCTGACATTTTATAGACCAAGAGATTAATGTAGAAAATAACCAGCAGCTTTACCGATAATAAAAATAGTCAAAAAAGTTGACTATTGACTATTGCAGCCCTAAAATGATACGGTTACTTCTGAGGTAGTGAATTATTAGTTTAAGCTGAAGCGAGAATTTGCTTTGATCCAAAGACTCAAATCCAAGAGGAATTGTTTGTGTAAGAGAGAGAGAGAGACTAGTGTACTGGTGTTTACTGGTCTGTGTCACTGACCCCTAGTAAGATGAAAGGAATTGAAAGAGTGAGGGAAGATGATGAGAAAATGATTAAAAGACTCTACAGTGGAGCCGGGAAGAGAACAAAAAGGGAAAAGCTAAACAAATTGTCTCTTGATAGTGTATATGTGTTAAAATGATAGAGGAAGAGAGTGTGTTTCAGGCATCAAGAGGATGTTGGGGCTGGGGAAGTTCATCATTGTGAAGTTCTTATTCAAGTAGACCCTAAAAGATTGGAGTTTTTAATTCTGTATTTGTCTGGAGTTCTCCAGTAAGGATTCAGAGAGGCGACAGTGACAAACACCGAACTGTACTATTGGTGTCAGAGCTAGACAAGCTTTTAAGCCAATGCTTATCACAGCATGCCATCACTTTTGTTTAATAGCCTTCTCTCTCCGTCTCTCTCTCTCTCTCCTTCTGTCTCTGCTGATCCCAGCATGCCTTCTCTCCCTCCCTTTCTCACACGTTTCCTCTCTTCATCCCTCCCTCCGTCGTTCGCAGCGTGTAACCTCTTTCATTTCTAGCATCTCTCTTTTCGACTCGTCTCTCGGTTTTTCTTCCAAAAAATGTTACTATCTAATCTCAGTAGGGGTTTCTGACATACAAATTCACCAAAGCTTTCTCTTTTTCGTTTTCGCTGTCACTTCTCTATTTCTCAAATAGTTGCTCTCCTTCTCATAACTGCCTCCCCAAGTCCCTCATCTTTCACTTCTTGTCTCGGTTCTTCCATGCCTTCTGTCATGATGTTATGATTCTACCTTAAAGAGATAAGAGTTGCTATTGATTTATACTCCTTAGCCTGTACATTCATAAAATTAAAGAAATAGAATATATCATAAACTCAATAAAAGTGGTGAAGTAATTTTTTTTTATTGCTGCGTCCACCTGCAACCCTACACAGATGGATCCATGGGTCTATTATGTGTAACTATTACAATCGCAAACAAACAGAATTTTTTTATTTATTTAATATTTTAAGATTACTGTTCATTTGGCTGTAAAATGTTCATCTCTAATACGCAATAACGCCAGTGAACTACTTTAACTTCTCAGTCGCGTTGGTACATTTTTCGAATCATCCTTAACATTTGTAAAACAAATTTCTCAATTTCTCAAAACAATTTGTACAAAGAGCACCACACAGTGGATTACCTGCAAAAGGTAGAAAAACTAAAAAGTCATTGTCATTGTTCACAAAATGTTTAGCCATGTTGTCAATATAACAGTGTACTCTTGAGTATTTTCTGAGATAAACTTATTTGGATGAGGAGCGATCTGAAACAATTTCCCAATACTTTTATGTAACAGTTATTTGAAACAAGACAAAAATAATAACCTTGCTTGTCCATAACAACAATAAAAATAATAATAGGCTACCAATCAACTACTATGGCTTCAACAGGTGGCATTTTATTCAAGGTATCGAATGAAGTAATCAAATCGGTATCACTTTAAGGGTACTGATTTTGACAGTGGTATCTTAAAATTTTAAACGATACCCAACCCTATTCAGGATACATTTACAGAAAGAATCTCTAATAGAAATGTATAGAAAATATGCTTGACAGATTATGACAACGTGTTGAACTATTTTGCATGCAGTGACTGATGCAGCGCCTTGATGTTTTGGTGGGTAAGACTATTCAACAGTGAACCAGTGTGATACATTTTGATCGACATGACATAGGCAGTTGATGATGTAGGAAACACCAAACATTTGTGCCTAATCATTTACACAAATGTGGCAAAACATTTACAATGTCAGAAGAATGAGAAATTGCTTTTATGATGGAGGTTAAACAAGCAGTTTTGAGAATTTCAATTCTGATCTGAGAAATGAACCAAAGGGACTGAGAACAACTAGAACACAGATGTTGTATGTCCTTTGGTGTGTTCTGTTGCCATTCATTTTGTATGTCTTATTTTATCCTTCGCTTATTTATATATATTTAGTACATACTGTGAATTGGGCTTAGCAGAAAAAGACAAAAACACACATTTTAACAACTTCTAATATAGATACATTTAGTTGTATATGGGAATTACATGAAATGTCCGATGGACTAATTTTGAGTATTATTGTTTTTATCTTTCACTGTTTTCGCATTCTTACTTATTATTTCTGTTCAGGCCACTATTCTTTAGTGGTAATTTAGATGACACATTGCAGATAGCTGCCATGGAGTGTTTTGTAATATTGGCCTTGTTCCCAGGGACCACGAAAGCTGATGCGTTACCGTGGCCAAGTGCTGATGTTAATTAACACTGTTGGTTAGGCATGTTGAGTATTCGGACTGTGTGTCCTCTCATTCTCAAGAAACAGCATTGATTCTCTGGTAGCAGCATTCACATAAATCTCATCTCATCTAGTTGGCATGTGACCCTGAAAGTACCTTTAAAGGGTTACTATCGCAGAAGGGATGAATTGGAGTGTGTGTGTCTGTTTCCTGGATGATAGAAAGTGTCTGCTTATATGTAGCACAAGCTTTTATGTGGCCTCAGTGCAGATCAAGCCAAACTACTACTTTCTAACTTTATATTCATCTTCGCTGGGCTGTTTAGGCAGACCTGGAGCTTAGTCTTGGTGCAGAACTGCAGAAACTTTAAATAATTTTACAACTAATACAAATAAATGCAACATCTTAACCTGTCATCCTTTTTTATGAATCCTCCTGGCAATATAAAATAGCTATTGATTCTGTTTAAAAAAGTGTTTAAGACCAATGTAACCCAAAGAAAAATCAGAGTTGTGAGCTGCAGATGACAGTAGTGGTTCTTTATTTGTGCTTTTATTGCATTTGTTCTGGAGAAAGTTGCGCTTGCAAATCAAATTCTCAAGCCAGAGAACCAGCTGCTGTCATATGTCCAAGCTTCATTGCCAGCGCTAGACTGAGTGCAATTTCATGAATGTTTTCACATGTCGGTCTAATATTTTACACCAAAGGAGGGACTCAGATCAGCTTCTTTCTTATGTGCTTCTTCGAATGTCTTGTCTGTCTTGTCACAAAAAGCTTGATGATCCAGTACAATGCTCTGTGAGGTCTCCATGCAGCAGCCGTGTCTTATCTAGTCAATTTCTGCAGAAACTGGGAGTGTCCATTTTGTTTGCAGATAGAGTGAACGGTGTGAAGCACACCGTTCACTCCATTTGCATTGAAAACTTGCAAATTCTTACATGTACAATCAATCAGGAAGAGTATGTTATACATGAACTTAAGTATTAGCTCTTATTGTCGCTGTCACTTGTTGCTATATTAGAACATCTTGACTCACTGATTTGTGTCTGAAGTGATTTTTCCTTCCCAAGTAAAATGTGATAAACGAATATTAGACCATTCTACCATATCAAAAAGACAATCCAAGCATGCTATTTAAAAATATTGTCATTCAACAAAGAAATTAATTTAATCCAATGAAGAAGATTCGGCTAATCTTGTCAAGAGGGGTTGAAATCAAATCAGTCGAAAATGACACTCGACACATGACACACTGTTTTATAACAGGGCATGTGCTGTCATGATGTGTTTATGTAAAAATAGCTAAAAAGATTGAGGATGCAAATTCTGACATCGAAATACCTTGTGTGACAGCAATGGAAAATATATTTAAAATGACAAAGACAATACTCGTGTATTTGTACAGGTATTGACTTTGCAATGGCTTTTTAAATCATTCGTATAGTTAACAGCATAGATCTTATTTCCTATAGACACTCCCAGGCTCGGTCAGTTTCTATGTGTGCTTTTCATGTTTGCTACATAGAGAGCCGTGGCTCCAAACCAGCTACTTCAGCACAAGGCCCAGTTCTCCCAGCTTCAGCTACAGCCGCAAGCCAGGCCCCAGCCGCTGGCTCAGCATCAGCAGCCCTCAGCGGGCAGGAGATCCCACCGCACCCTGCCCAAGGACCAAACCCAGCTCCTGTCGCTGCAGCACGACCACAGACACAGGGAGCGAGAGAGGCAGAGGCAGAGAGAAAAGCCTGTGGCAGCTGTCCAGAGGCTAACTGCTAATAGTGGGAACACAGCTGCTGCTGCTGCTGCTGCTGCTTCCTCACCCAGCCGCCCTGTAAACAGCCAGTGCTCAGCGGTAAAACCCTGCTTTCCTCAGCTGTGTAGCAACCTTTATCAACTCTACATCCCACATCTGTCAGTCTGTCTCGCTGTCCCACTTGCACCCTCCTATCGTTCACTTTTCAATTTTTTTTCTCACATTTTCTTTTTTCTTTGTCATATTTATTGTCTTTACACCCTCCTCCCTGTACTTTCCCCCTACTTTTGGTCACTTCATCCTTCAGTTGACACATGTTTTTTACCTAAATGTCACAAAGGACTGGAGAAAATAAGATAAATATTAGGCAGAATGTAGGTAACTTAGGGAGAAAACAAAGACATTTACCCAGCTGATAACATGTGGTTGTTGTTCTTAGTATAGCAGCTAAACCACACAAGGAGCACGAACAGGAAACAGACCAGTGCCATTGCTACAGTATAAGAAAGCGTTTTCAAACAGCTGAGAGTCAAAAAGGCTGACTGTAGTTTTCAAAGAATCCTGTTTTTATTATTTTATTTATTACTGCACTTGCTCCTGAACTCGAGTGAGTTTGATAAATCAGATTATGCTGGGTGATGATCAGCTTCAAAGTGCTTAACGAAAAACACCGAGCCGTAATGTTTGTTCATGTGACGCTGACGGACAAAAGGCACTCTTCTTATGTCTGGGCCAGTATGTGTAAAACTTCTAAGAAATACTCTTAAGAACTTTTCTAAACTTTGACTTTGGAGTCTAAAAAGTTGTAGTAAAAAATCAAACAGAGAAGCTTAATATAAAGTAGTGTAAAATAATGACACAATTGTTAAGTGTGATTCTGAAGTGCTGACTACAGTGACTCCACAGTGTTTTAAAAATATGGACTGTAATCATGTCTACCCAAAGTGTCCACGCTGAATCAGCAAATAGCAGGCCTCTAAAGGTGACACGGCACGGCTGCATCACATCAGTCGTCACAGTTTCATGCACACCTCGTCACGTTTAGGACTACTCATCATTCCTTGTATCCAACATGCATGCAATATGCATGTCTCAGAATGTCCTATCATGTAAGAGGAAATCTTATATATGATATATCCCATAAAGTAATAGCTGACTTTTACTGGTATCTGCTATTTGGGATATTACAATCTTAATTTAAAAAAGTTTAAAAAAAAAAAGTTTAAAAGCGGAATCAGGGTAAATTGTATTTCTTATTCATCTTTCAAAATTAACACATAATAATATAATAATTAGTGCATATTTTATGATTGATATAGATTTAATGTTACTATGAACATTGTATTCATGCTGAATCCATCATGTCATGAACATTTATATGCATGATCTCACAGTGTGTAGTGTAATCGTTGGGACAGTATTGGTATTCATAAAGTGCATTTATGTGGATATGAGTTTTACAATCTTTGTATGATTCCAAACACACACACACACACATACAGTCTTACATGTATTTTATGTTTTAGATGGACCTCCAGGAGTCAAACCTTGCCAGGCTGCTTCTGGCTGCTGGTCTGCCCGGCCAGATGCACTCTAGGCTGGGCTCTGGGAGCAGCTCTAGTCCTTGTACTCCAGCCATGCAGAGAGCCCACCTCAACCAGGTATACACAATTATATCACATTATACATGCCCGCTATTTCCTTTAAATGTATTGTATCCTGCTCTCCTCTTCTCTGTGCTGTTTAAATGATCTTATATTTTTAGCACTGCTTCTATCTAGTCTGTTCTATTATTTTCTATTCCAGGTTTGCCTAAAGTGTGTGAGGATGTTTTTTTTGTTTTTTTCAGATAATCCTATTTTTGGGCACACTATCCTGTGATTGTAGTCATTTTTGTGATGTGGCTAAAAGTGTGAATGTAGAAATTTTCAGTCCTTATATTTTCCCAGAATGCCAATCTGCGCTCTAGTCGAGAGGCCGCTCACAGCAGCTCTATGTCAGATATGGCCATCTCCCCCTTGTCTCCATTTTGCCCCATGTCCCCGACTGATGATGTCTTCTGGGACTCGGTCACAACACCACCTAAGGTGAGCAACAACTGTCCTGTAAGCTAACAGGATGAAACATTGCATGCCAGCAGGTTAGATGGCTTTCATAAATGAGGCAAATGTTGAAGTGATGTTTATTTTGTTTCCTGGCTCTCATTGAAGGAGGAAGTAGTTATTATTGCCATGCCAGGCGCAGAATATAGCTTGCATCACATGAGGTTGGCATAATGTGTTTGTGTATGCTAACCATGCTGTATTTTGGTCGCACAAAGGTAAGGAAGTGGTGCACACAGCATGAGGTTGGCACACTGTCGGTGTGCATATGTGTAATTTGGGGAAAGAGTGTGTGTATGCTTATGAGAGGGGAGCCTTACCTCGGAGCTTGTTATGTAGCGCCCCTAACTAAAATCATCAAAACACAATAAAACATGTTTATAAAACAAAATATGTTTTTGAACTAACAGGAGGCCATATGGAGTCGATAGAGCAGTTAATAACTCACTACTCTCTCTCTCTCCTGTGATTGCAGTGTAGTAACTGGAGCAGCCATAAACTGTTAACTTTTGGGGACCTGCACCGCAATAGAGTGTGACAGTAATGTGCTGTAGCAAAGCCAGGCGTTTGATGAGTTTTACAACTGTCTGTGAATTCAAATCATTTTACATAAGCTTAAATAGTCTTAAGCTCAAGCTGAGGGCTCTTTGATAATTTTAATTTCATGCGTGTGCCAATAGTAGACAGGAAACAAAAGACACGAAGCTCAGTGTGTGTGTGTGTGTGTGTGTGTGTGTGTGCGCGTGTGTGTGTGTGTGTGTGTGTTCATGGGGGAGCCAGTTGCGGCATGTGGGAAACTTGTCAGAATGATGATAGGTAATCCCCCAGCTCCCTTCCTGCTCTGCTGGGTGTGTCTTCCTCTCTGTAACTGGGTCATGTGACACCAAGAGATGAAAGGTCAAAAGGTCACCAGCTGGTTGGTACGACTGGGAGTTTGAGAAGAATGAAATGTTGAAAAGAAAGTGCTTTGCAACACTCACGCAGATCGATCTGGTATTGGTTTCACAATGCTGTTCTTGTCATATCATGAATCCAACAATGTTGGAAAAAGGTTAAGAAATATCCCTGACTCGGATAATATTTCCACATCGTATTAAGATTTGGACATGGTTTTTGGGGAATTTAAAGGAGCAACATTGAAATGTGAAGAAATAGCAAAGCCAAAAGGTCTCATTAGATTCTCAGTAATAAAAATCTCCCAGTGGGTTATTAAAGATTTTATTGAACTCTGCTCTACAGCCTTTCAGGCACTGTAGAAGTTGTTGTACATAAAGGTTTCATAACCACAGAAACCTTCTTCTAATTAGCTGAAACCCTGCTTGGCTAGACATGAGATCCTTGTAAAGATCCCTCTCAAATAAGCAGTCACCTCCAAAATACTGCCATCTTTGTGTATTGTGTTTCTGTCAATGCTGTTCAACTGATTTTCCTTCTTCTCTCGGTCTTATGTAATTCCAGGTCCCAGAACGCACTACCTCTAAGTTCTACTGTCGAGAGCTGGTGATGGGACACAAGAGGGCCGCTTCAAGGTAGACCACAACTACACTGTATGCACACTAAACATAAAGACACTGTGTTGTTTTTTAATGTTGGCCCTTGTTTTGTCTGTACATGAACTAATGACTTAATGTCACTTTATGACACTGGGTGAAGCGACTGTTAGTTGCTCCTTATATGAATTATCACCCGACTCTGTAGTCCCATTTAGTTCTACAGACTGTTGTAGCGTCTCTCAGGTCATTGTTTTGGTTTAACAGCCTGCAACTTAAAGGTCATAAACCTTGTTTCCAGCGGCAGAATGCAGACATTTTCATTTTAAAGCTCTGATAAACTCACTGTACACTGCCCAGCACCAAATGACAAACTGTGTAGAGGTAGGTTCATCCTACCTGACATGGCAAAACAATAAACTAATTGGCCTACAGTTATACTGCAGTTTTGTTTCTAGCTAGCTATTCATGGGTTTTGCATATCACACTCTTGAGCCCAGGCACCTCAGACACATCTGTTTTTCCTCTGTTTTAAATAAACTCTACACTAGTACTACTAGTACACAGTGTAAATGGACCGAATCAAGCTAGTTCAAATCATGAATTTCAGTGCTGTCTACAGAAAGACAAAATTAGTCAGTTTGAGGAATAGGAGCTTAGTTTCACTTAAAACTCCCATATAACAATTTAAATAAAGAAGCCATATTGTACAAGTTAGGTGTTTCTTGACTGAGTACCTACAAGCTAATTTAGCAAGTATCAGCCAAGCGTTGTTTGGCAGCATAAAGACACAATGCTACGGTCTGTCCTTAAATTGGAAACACGAGAAGCCAAACTAACATTAGTCTTTAATGGCATGTGAATGTAAATTTGTAATCTCTGGTATGGTAACCATGCTATAAGAAGGGTAGTTCTTCCTTTCAGCTAGAGAGAACCGTATTTAATGTGAGGCTTTATATCACACTGCAATTCAGCATACTGGCATACACTGTTAGAGAACAATCAGTCATGGGTAGATCGGATTAGTTGAGCTTGGATGGATTTTTTTTGATGATTAGATGTATACCGTTGATCACAGTTCACATGGTCTGCCTCGCTCTGTGTGTGTGTCTCTTTCTCCATCTAGTGGCAGTCCAGTGTCTGTAGCAGATAAAAGTGGAAGATCTGCTCCTCATGGAGTCTCCTCTACCAGCAGCAACCACCCAGGTCTGTGCCACCTTAACTCAGCAGCTGCTGTAAGAGCAATAACAGCAAAGCCCCAAAAAGAACATGTTCTTAAACTGTGGTCATCCAGATACAATGGGTAGTTCAGTCATCTCTGGTGGCGTCAAGTCGTAGTTTGGCTCACTGAATTAGAGACTTATTTCTCTGTTTGTGTTCCTGCATGACAAGTAAAAGAGATTACATTGTCTAGACCTCAGAATTTAACTGTTAATATGCAGTAGTGACGGATTCCCAGCATGTACAGCCTTCTTTTCTATAAGAAGATATTCAAAATATGAAAGTCATAATATACAGTAAATGTTATTTTTGGGACGATTTTCACACGGGTGTGGCACTGGTGTGAACTAATGCTGTGTCTGAGTGAGCGCATTGGTGTGTGTGAACCGCCAAGTCATTAGATTTTCCCACACAGCCCGAACACACATATGGCGTGCCTGTACACGTGCTCACGCACCCCCACCCTAAACAATAACCTCATAAACCACACCAGATACATGCAGCCACACCAAACCCACCACAGACCCAACAGTGCATACACTTACTATAAATTAGCGACAGCGCACAACGCAGAGTAATGAGACCAACGCGTGCCCTCTTTACCTGTGTGTAGACATGTAGCGAGAAAGAAACAATTTATCTGTTGGACAGGGAAGCCACTCTGGTAGCCAGTGGGAGATAGAGCGAGAAAGATGAGGAGAATATGTCTAGTAAGTAAGTTTCCCTCTGTATGTAGCTGAGAGGAAACAACTTTTGATGCATCCCACTCAGTTTGGCTGCTTGCCTCTGCCTTCTTTGTTGGGAGCCACAGAGCAGAGATTCTCATACAGCTTTACTGTGTGAAAAAGCTTTTAATCTGCTCACGATGTGCTGCTTTCCTCTCTGGATTATGTTGTTGTTGGAAAGAACATTTGTAGCATTTATATATATAAAACTTACAAATTGATTATGATACATTGGTTTAATACCATTGGTATCTGAACTCGACAACTCGACTTTATTTCCCATACCTCTTTTTGGTATGTGGTGAAAGAACAGTGGTGGCCTTTTCCTGTTTTGTGCTTTCATACTTTTATACTTGTTTTGCGTTAAACAGTAGCAGTAACAGTAGTTTTGAAGAGAGTGTAGTAATGGCATAATTCTGGTGCCATCTAGTGGCAACTTGAAATCCAACCAATCTATTAATATGACCACCGTTTGTCAACACATTAAAGCTGCTCTAATCAATACTTTTATATTAACAACGGATCAAATGACTGTGTGTAATCTGAAAGGGGTTGCTCGAAGTGACAGAGTGGTCATGAAGAATTATCACCCAGCTTGTTGCATTGCTCCTAGTTGCCAAACAAATTGATTAACACAAGGATTAAATACTGTCAATACTTTAAAAGCTAATTTCACTTTTCTAATGTGCTTTCTTATGACAAGATGTTTGTGCAGTGTAGTGACTGTGACTGACCGTTTGCTTTTGTTTTGGGTCCATTCAGAGTGTCAGTGCTCCAATATGCTCTAGCTCCCCAATTGCAGTTTGTGGTTGTAAAGCTATCCAGCCCAGTGATACACAATGTTAGATCCCATTTAGAGGCCAGCAAAGGCTGCCGTTTTTTGACAATGGCCTCATTTGTCTATTGTAATTATACCTCTCACCACTATTGTTAATGTGGTAGGGGTTCAGTGGATTGCTTAACACCCCCCTGCTGCTAATTTCACACTACAGAACTGCTACTAATGTGAGTATGCGTTATGTGTGTGTGTGTGTGTGTGTATTGTAGGTTACTTTAAGCTGGAGAGTCCTCTTCTACAGCAACGTCTACAGCAGCACAGGAAGACACAAGAAAACGTAACCAGTGGACATACACAAGTAAATCAAAGAGTCTTTCTTCACATTTTCACAGCTATGACCAAATTCTGCTCTTCTACCACACGTAGACCTGAGTACTCTGACGTGTGTCCAGGCATGACGGTAACATTATCAGAGAAGTCAGCTTAGCTACGTTGATCTTGATTAACAGTGAGGAGCGTGACAACACACATGTGCACTCAAATGTTGCCAAAATTCCCCTTCCATATTAAATCTAAGAGTATTTCCCCTTCTTCTTTAGATGTAGAAGTACTTTTGTTTAATCATCTAATGTACCGCATTAAATGAAAGTCTTCTCTTTTGTTTCTTTTCCCTCTGCTCTATCTTTGATCTTCTGACTCACTTGACCTCATTGACTCATATTGTTCCTCACCTCCATCACGCAGGGTGGAAGATCCGCAGAATACTCCTCTTCCAGTGACGAGGTCGGCAGCAGCGATGATGAAGAGAGGATCAGGTGAGACCGTCATCATCTTCATAATTGCATTGTGCTTATTATATTGTTTAAAACGTTCCTGATTGAAGTATGCATTTCACCCAGTCTTTCCTTTTGGTCCAACAAATTGTTTCCAAACAACAGAATTAAGAAGCATGACTTGTTGCAAGAGGTACAAATTGTGAAACCAATATGAAGAATCGGAGACAATTCTGATTAAAAAGTCTCTTTGCTTACTTCTTTCTACTGAGAAAGGCTGCTTGTGGAAATGTTTGTGCTGACTACCAAGGTTAAGTCAGACCCAAAACACTTTGACAGATTTAAGTGCAGGATTAAAATCCTGTGGCTTTTAGGATTTATTGGTAATCTAAACCTTGAAAATCAAGCTAGGACAAGCCCACAGATGTGGCATGAAAGATAATTGTATTATCAATGTGATAGTATACATTTGTGTCTGCTTATGGGAAGGGTAAATACATTATTAAAATAGTGTTTATTGTTATTGACATAAATTCTCTTCTGGTCCCAGTTTTGATCCCAGGAAGTAAATCAGCCTTATTTGCTTTGCCATCGATCTTGAGGATGTATTGATCTTGTTTCCAACTAATAAATTCAGGACCTGCAGTCAGACTCTGGTCTAAAATCTTGACCTGTCTGTGTGTTTCAAGGTCTGGCCTGTCCAACGGAAAGGGGAAATATTTCAGAGGAATACCTGATGGCATCGTGCTGCAACCACACCGCAATCTTAACCAGGTACCCTGCACACATCCACACAAGAAACGCACACACATCCACACGCTGCTCCCCCGTTTGTCCTCCAAACTCCTGAATATATTTTCACGTTTAACAGCGAGATGGATGTCCATACTGTTATACGGCTGATGTAGATGGCGGAAGGTTAACTACTGACTAGTAGAGAGCCACGGCCATTTACACCTGTGTGGGTCATTCAGTGTGCTGAGCAACATTCAAATCTGACAGCATGCCATAGAAATACATTTCCAACAGCTCCCCCTGACTTTCTACTTTGTCTCTTTGTGTGTTCTACAGATTTCTCGGCTCGGCTCAGATGACACCTACCTGCTACCAGACCTTCTGCAGAAAACCTCCTCCTCTAGTCCGACCCATAATGCAATGGGCCAGCAGCAGCGGACACGTGAACTCAACTACTCACAGTCACCCATAGCCCCTCGGTCCCCCATACACCAGGAACTACATGTGAGTTTATTTTGGAGGAATGTGTCAGAGAGACACCTGCAGGAATGCACACATCATTTCTCTTAGTGATTTTTTTTTATTTCCCTTTTCCTCCCGACTATCATTCACATCATGCAGAAGCTATGTTTGGAAATGATGTATTTAATCAACACAATAAAGAAGAATAAAGTCCATGGTAGGATGTCATCGGGTATTGACAAAGTTTTAAAATGTAGAAAATAAGAGGGGGGCGATGGTGCAGTGGATAAGACCCATGCCTCTAGTGTGAGAGACCCAGGCTCAATTCCCACTGCGACATCCACCAATGTGTCCTTGAGCAAGACAATTAACCCCTAGTTCAGTGGTCGGCAATAGGCCGCCAGATTGCTTTGATAGCAGAAAAATCAAAAATAAATAAATTGATAGTGGCTGGTGCTGAAATAGATGTCAGTCATGACGGCAACAGTTACTCACATAATCACTTCCTTTTAAGTGATTGTGCCTACAAAATAAAAGTGTGAGAACGTTTTTCGAGTCCATGCTTCATGTTGGGTTTATTGAGAGCTTTTACTTCAAAAAGATCTGAAGGACATTCAAAAGAGTCTCTGACTTGCTTGACACACCTCTGAAAAAGCTGTCAGTAAACGTGATTGGATTCCCCTGAATTTCCTCAGGGAAATGAAAATAAGCATCCACAAGTTTGTGAATGCGGATCAAACGCCGGGACAAAAGATAAAAGCATGAGCTAAATGACTAATTATAATTATAAGATCATATCATTTTGATAATAGTGGACTGAAAAACCTTATTAGATTAGAGAAAATCCATGATACAAGTATATTAGCATTGTTTGAGAATTTAAAAGCACTGTCCACATCCAAGCGTGTACTTGAAGTATGTGACTAGTTGCATTAGTTACATTTGTCCACCAGAGGGAGGTGGTGGCACAGCAGTTAGTATATGATCCCTAAGCTGAGGGGTCATATGATTTCTGTCAATAGTTCATTTAACATAAATGTACTTAAGTTTTTTCACTCATGCACTTTAGTACTCATACAAATTTAGAACCATGAATGTATTTGTAGTAATAATGTTACAAGGCTTGGGAGAAGGGTTGTTGGTGATGTTAAAAGGTCGCAGAGGAGTTGTCTCTGATCTGTAAAGCCGTGAATAGGATTTGTGATTTTGCGTATGAAGCCAAAACCAAAACTATAAAAAATGGAGTGGAATGATAGTTTGCCTTGATGTTGTTCATCATCAGGCTGTCGGCAGTCCCACTGGTAAAAACGCCTCCTCATCTTCCTCTTCCTCCTTCCTGTCCTTCATCGATCCAAGATTGATCCCCATATCATCACCGCCACAAAGCCCTAGTGAGTACATTAAACACACACAGTTTACATAGACTGACACTTATTTAACTGATTTAACCATTTATCCTAAGTGGTATATGGAATATTTTCTAAATGTTTTTTACATAAGCAGTAGAGTTTTACTCTTGAGCCCTGTCAGGACACTGTACTCATGTAACTACACCATGCGTTGTTAGCATTTTATTTTTCGTCCCCGTGTAGCGGGCAGTAAGGGTGAACCAATCAAGAGCCACAGGAAGGGCTCCGTGGTGAATGTCAATCCAACCAACATTCGACCACAGAGCGACACTCCAGAGATCCGCAAGTACAAGAAGAAATTCAACACTGAGGTTCTCTGTGCTGGACTGTGGGGTTAGTAGTTTTATTGTGTTGTTGTGTTTTAAATATCTACTTGGAGGCGTGATTTATTGTTCTGTGTGTGTATTTTGTGTGTGTGTGTATTGTAGATGTGTTAAGAAATGAACAAAGGTGCTCTGTTAAATGTTTTGCTCTAAACGATGGTGAACAGATGGTGAGCTTTTTTTGATTTTCATGGCAAACAAACTTTATTAAATTTGTTTTCTGGGTGCATCCAAGCCAGAAGCTATCATGGCATCACTGGACAATGTCTCTCCATGTGTTGTTTGTTTTGGAATTGACTCCAATGTACAGATGTACTGATGTCTTACTGACAGATGGATGCATGACACAGCATGTTAGTGGTGGGTGGGGTGTAAGGTTTGTGTCTGTTTTGTCCTGTAGGTGTGAATCTGTTGGTGGGGACGGAGAATGGTCTGTGGCTGCTGGATCGAAGTGGTCAGGGGAAAGTCTACTCCCTCATCAGCAGACGAAAGTTTCAGCAGATGGATGTGTTGGAAGGACTCAATGTGCTGATCACTATATCGGGTACATAAACTGTTGGGAACAAATTAATGTAGCTCTAGAAACACCAAGAATTCTTTTTTACTTGCCCCGTACAGTGAAACAGACTGTAATTCAGCCACCAGTCTTGCTCATACAGAATATAAAAATGTCAGAATCAGAATCAGATGTATTGTCCACACATATTAGAAGTGGAGAGGATTTGTATAAATATATAAATATAAAATTGACCAAATATAAAAGGGTTATTGTACAGCTGTATGTAACTAGGTGAATGTGAAGGAGGACATTTTCTGTCTGTTCATGTTTGCTCATTCACCCCACATGAAAGTTTCATCTGCACAGGAGTCACCTTCATCCTTCTCCATCTGTCTTTCTGTGTCTGTAGGTAAAAAGAACAAGTTGCGTCTGTACTATCTGTCCTGGTTAAGGAATAAAATTCTACACAACGACCCAGAGGTGGAGAAGAGACAGGGCTGGACCTCAGTAGGTGATTTGGAGGGCTGTGTACACTATAAAGTGGGTGAGTACAGTTTTTGAAGGTGTTGTTTTATTTCCTAAACTAAAATATGTAAACCTTGTATTGTGTGAGTAGAGGTCTTTTAGGGCTACATGCACAGTATGTTAAAGTAATCAGGTATCAGCTTCTAAAAGTCTGTTTGTCCATCTTGTTTCTTTAGTGCGTTACGAGAAGATAAAGTTCTTAGTGATTGCTTTGAAGAATGCTGTGGAGGTGTACGCCTGGGCCCCAAAACCATACCACAAATTCATGGCCTTCAAGGTTGGTAACATTTAAATAAAGTGTCAAATGTATCTTCTGTGTTGTCCGTGTCAACGAGAGTTAGAGCTGGGAGCTGCTTGCCCCATCTGTAACGACAGTGTAAGCAACAATGTATGCTGTAAACACTACAGTGGAAGTTATTATACAGTGAACGTCTTTTAGCCACATTAGCTTCAGGTCACAAGGTGGCAATCTCAACCAGTCTGTGGACTTCGATGGATCGCCATGAATGTTGGTACAGACTTCTCCACTTTTCTGACACTTTATGTACATGAGCAATGAACTGTAGGCAATAAAGTTAAGTTTAGACTGATGAAAGCTGAGCTAAGTCTAACAAAGCAGAGTGAAACCTAACAAACAGAATCTGAAGATACCTTGAGCATAATGGAGGTACATGTAAAATTCAACCTGCGCAGCTAGATTGAGATCTCTAGAGTAGTTAAACCACCACAGACATGTTAACAGTAGTGTCCTCCATTGTCTTTTCTGTTCTTACCACATCTTTACATATCTAGGGCAAAAAAAAATCTGAAAATCTAATAGGGTCACTTCCATAGCCAGACACTTGCACATAAACGTAGACATGACACATCCAGGCTGTGAGAGTCCTACACACAGATTCTCAGCAGAGACTGTGTCCCATTTCTTTGCGTCCTTTGTGGCCTGAGCTACTTTTCCACACGTAGTTTAACCCTCTCTCCTCAGAAAAGGCCAAAAATATACTACCTTGTGGAAGTAATAGCACGGCTATCTTAGGATGACCATTTTTATGCAACTCCTCTTCAGCTTGTCAAAGTCAACTGCTGATTAATTATTAATGGAGCCGTTCCAGTTAGAATACTAGTGCCATAGTTTATTTAAAAAATGTGTAAAGGTGAAGACTGCAAAGGTGAAGACTGCAATGTCGCAGACTATCCCTTCTAAGATGTTTTGGTAATGTGTGTGTTTGTCTACCCAGTCATTCAGGTCTCTGCCTCAAAAACCCCTATCTGTTGACCTGACAGTGGAGGAAGGTCAGAGGTTAAAGGTCATCTACGGCTCCTTTTCTGGATTCCATGCCATTGATGTCGACTCTGGAACACCTTACGACCTCTACCTGCCTACACATGTAAGATATTCATTTACATTTATTGATTTAGCTGTAGCAACGAGGGGTTAAGTGTCTTGCTCAGGGACACAATGGTGAATGTCTCACAGTGGGAATTGAACCTGGGTCTCCCACACCAAAGGCAAGCATCTTATCTATGCGCTGCCACCACCCACGTGTAAATTCTTTACGCTCTATATGTTTGCTGGTTCGTCTGGTTGTCTGTCTAAAAAATTGTTTGTTTAGTTGTTTTTTTTAACAGTCAAAGCAAGTAGCAAAGTGTCACTTTTTCACTAATCTTAAAGAAGACTCTCTCCAAAATCAGTTGTGGGAAAAAGTGTGGTCATCTTACGGTATGATGACAGTCTGCTGTATAATCAGGATGGTCTTTGTGAAAACAACATTAGTGGACCAGTATATCCACAAACCTAAGGGCGTCTTCGCAAGTGATTCCCCACCTGACATGTCCACATATCCTTTAACGTCTTTAAACAGCTACATATTTCCCCATAAACCATTTGTGTCACTCCATTAGCTGGACATACCACCAAGCTAATCTAGTTGTTTGAGCTAATGTTGCAACTCTTTGATTAAAGAGGTGGTATTATACTAATTTTGAGGTTCAAAATCTTAATTAGAGGTTGTACCAGAACAGGTTTACATGGTTTAATTTTCAAAAAACACCATATTTTCCTGCACATTGCTACAGCTCCTCTTTTCACCCTGTGTGTTGTACGCTCTGCTCTTGAGCTACAGAGTGATTCATCTTTCTTGTACAAAATCTTTGTTGGGAGTGGCACGCAGTTACCAGGTTAAGGACTACTAGCCATTCAGAAGCAGAGAAGGGCGGGTCGTAAGAAACAAGGTAGTGTGATCCAAATCAAAGCCGCTTCAGACTGCGACCGTAACCTAGCAGATGGTAAAAGTTATTCTCAAGTCCACAACATCATTGTTCCACATCTTACCATGAGGACTAAACGTTGAACTGTTGCCGGTGTTCTGACGATCTATGCTGCCTTGCCGAAAAATGCTACCGTAGCGCAAATCAATAGACTCGACTCTACTCGGCCCTGCTCCGTTTTCCATTGCAGACAGTACCCAGAGATAGAATGTAGCTTGTCGTCATAGTGACGCCTCACAAAACTGCCCCGACGTAATTTTCAATGCGACACACACACCAGCGATCCACACAGCTTTCTCTTTTTTAAGTTAAAATGTTTCAACCTTCCTCAGAATGTAAAGACAGATAAGCGGTATGAAAAGCTTCCAGCTGTGTTTTCCTCTGTCGTTGTTGCTGCAGCGGTCTGTGTGACGGCGGGAGCAGAGGGCTCTGTGAGCGGACGGCAGGCCGGTCTCACACGCTCCTCCCGCGGGTCGGCACAGGCTTTCCCCGCAGCCACTTGTGGAGCTCCTCAACTCCGACAATATTCATATTAATATATTATTATTATATATAATAATATTATTAATATATAAAACTTTCTGTTGCTGGCCTCTGTCTGGTGCAGCAATGATGATGCAGTCTGTCTGTAGTGTTTTCATGTTACATTTTAGTATCTCTCAGCTCGCATGGAACTTCGACGGAGGTGAGGTGATACGAAAAAAAAGTACCTGAAAGCAGGTATAGGTACAACATTTCTACAATGGAAAACCAGACAAAGGCGAGTCGAGCCAAAGGGCCTCGGCTCAGACTAGCTTGGTCTGAGGGCGTGTCTGACCCCACTAGCCGCTTGGAAAGCTTTATGACGCGTTTTCATTGTGATGTAAGTGGTAAAGGAAGTGAAGGGCTGAATCTACAAACGAGCTGTTTTCAGGCAGGTCAGAGCAGAGCTTTCTGTGGAGATGGGAACTCCCTTTGGGCTGGACTTTGGGCTTTTTCACTTTGCAAACCTATTACATGCACAAAAAAGATATATAACTCAATAAAGGAGAGGGAAAAAGCCAAAAATCACGCAACTGCTTATGTAAAGCCTACAAATATAGATTTTTTTTTATGCAAATGCTTTAGTAAATGTTTAGAGATCTCTGAGGTTGTATCTGATTTAGGTATCATTATCTCTGTAGTTCTCTGTTATACCTGAATTTTACTTTACTTTCTATCCATCAGCTGTGTATCTCTCTGTTCACCCATCTCCCTCCACTCTCTCTCTCTCTCAGGATGCACTCCTCCCCCTCCTCCTCCCACTCAAAGACTGCAGATGTCAGTCATTGGTCTCCTTTATTTCTCCTGTTTTCCTCATTCCACCTCCCTCCACTCTCCTCCCACCCAGACCACAGCTGTCAAACACTTTTCTCTTCCTCTTTAATCCTTCTCTTCTTTTCCACCTCCCACTCTTTCATCTAATGTGGCATTGTTCATTTGCTCTTTTTCTCCTCATTTTTATTTTCTCTTTTGCTTCATTTACCAAACTACCCTTGCAATCGCTCTCTCTCACTCTCTCTCTCTGTTCAGTCCGTGGGCAGGCTGAGCTGACGACAGAATGCTGTGACTAATGTTCACATTTCTATTAAGACACTGTTTTATCCCTCATTTGGCATTTGAACTTTCCGCTAAATTGTAGAAGTTGATCACATGAGGCCTTGGTCAAAAGACGATTTTGTCTGCATTCCAATATTTATTTGTTTGTATTAGATGTGATTTTGGAAAATACTTAATCCAGATAGGAACACTATAGTTTGCCGTAAACAATTACACAATGGCAACTTTGATCCACACTGAAATAAACAACTTTCCCATTACATTTCAATCTGAGACTGAAACCTAATGACTTTGGTAACCCCTTAACTTTTCCTCTGGCAACATAATCAGGTAAATTTGTCCAGTAACGTATTTAAATACCTGGAAAGCTAATGAACTTCCTATCAGCCTCAGTTGTACTTTGCTAAGCGCTAATTAGCAACAAAATAAAAAGTAATGTTGCAATCAGCGTTGGACGGGCCCTTGTGACCTGATGCACGTCGTGTGTTGCTGCTGGAGGTCATCAATGCGGGTCTGAATTATCATGCATTTTGGAAGCCTCATGAAGGATTTAGACATCACTTCCTGTGTCTCCTTTATGGTGCTACAGAACACCCGCTAATCAAATGTTGTGTACCAGGACAAGAAGTGTGGACGACACTGAAAATTTTATGTAAATCAAATGCTGATTTTTACACAATGCTAACTTCTTGTTGCCAGTAGGTGGTGCTATGACATTTAGTGAATATTGTAATACTACTACTACTAATAACAATAATAATAATCAACTTTATTTGTAAACCACTAGTTAGCTAGGCTTCTTGCTAATAACTTTTTTGACGGTGGGTCACCACTGATAACATAGTTATGGATCTTATATTGCATTTCTGTCAGTAGGTCCTCCTAAATATTACACACTGAACCTTTAAATGTACACAGTGCAATGGATATGAGTCATTCTAGCCTGATTGACAGGTTGCCATCGTAGCGACTTGTCAATCACAAGGTAGTCCCGCCCTAAAGCATCTCCTGCTTTATGGTCTATTTTCCCCTAAATGGGACCATAATTTACTAAATGAACATCATGCGGAACCAGACTTCTTTTTGCAACCAGTGGAGTCGCCCCCTGCTGGCCTTTAGAGAGAATGCAGGTTTAAGGGACTCACTCGCTTCCCTTTACAGACCCGGAGGTTCCCACTTGACATGATTGATTTGCCACAAAAATGTCATAAATTTTGGAGTGCTAGTGAGCCATTTTGCCACGCTGATGCGTGACTTGAATTTTGTGCAAAAAAACCCTTTGAGTTTTGGAGCATATTTAAGCTGCCAAAAATGCACTTCATTTGCAGAAAGAAAGAAAGAGGAAAAAAGAATTCCTTCACTTTCAACAGGGTCCTGACGTTTCATGCCCCAATTAGCAAGTTCGTGAATATGAGGGTTGACTGCTCTTGTGGCTAAACAAATCAAACATTTCCACAGCATTAAGAAATATGTTGGTAATATTTGTGCATTTGTATTTCCAAGATGCAAACTTGCTTGAGGTAAAATGACTTGTGGAAGTCTGTAAAACTTCAGCTCCAAAAAGGTTTGTGCAAATTCATTTGGGTCTTTGAATGTGAACAAATCGCTCACTGCTGGTACAATTAGAGATAGAGCAGATCACTCTTTTCCCCCTCCGCTGCTGTATGTGGGCAAGTAAAGCCCGCTGGTGAGTCATTCACTTTCAGATTCTGACACATTCTATTTAATATGCTTTCATCTGGAACTAGAGAGATTTGAGGCTCAGGATATGACAGAGTATTTAAACTTTGAAACATTTTAGCCTGTTTTCTTACCCAGTTTAAAGTGGAACCAGCATGTCCACAGTCGTCGTACTGTCTGTGGACTTCACCAGATTCTTTCACATACTGGCCATTCATATGGTGTGAGCGGCTGGAGCAGGGAGCAGGGAGCAAGGTTCCTCTGGTTTCTATGGTTTAATGATTTACAGAACGATCTTTCAATCATTTTTTGATACTATGGCGTCAAAGTCAGTGTCAAATTTTGGATCTCTGCCATAGCTGAGATCAACCTGAGGATAATTTATATATTACATGTTTACAGTGAGGAGGTAATGCAGTTTGTAGACTACTAATAGACTACATCCATGGATCTAGACATGTGTGTTAATATGTATATATATATTCCATAACATTAATCAGGATGAAGGAACTGTCTTGTTCATTTTTGCTTTGTGCAAAAGATTCTTCATTCAGAGTTTTTGTTTTGTTCTGTCTCTCAGTCATGTTCTCAACACCTTTCTCTCGCTCATTCACTCTTACACACACACACACACACACACACACACACACAACCCCAACCATCCTTAATGTGTGCTACTTTCTATAAGCATTGGGGAGTTGGAGCTAGAGAGGCAGAGAGACTAACATACGACAAGAGAAATAAGCTCTAAAAATATACCCCCTTCTGTCCTTCTTCTCTCGCGATCATTAACTCTGTGTGTGTGTGTGTGTGTGTGTGTGTGTGTGTGTGTGTGTGTGTGTGTGTGTGTGTGTGTGTGTCCCCTGACCTATTCTTGCTTCTGTTGAGAGGATGTTTTTTTTCTCTCTCTATCTCACTGCTCCTCTGGTATATTAAGCAAGTGTGCACACAGCTGCCTACTACACCGGTGCCTTATACTGCTGCTGCTGCGATATCATTTCAGCTCTCCAGCCTCTTTCTCCCTTTTTCGTTTTCTCTCACACATATACAGTCAAACTTTCAACACTCACACACACACACACACACACACACACACACTCAGTTACAGAGCGGTTTTAAACCCACTCACTTACACTTAGACATCCATATAGTTCACTGTCTTTGAGCTCTCTTGAGGACACTCCACACTCCCGGGCTTTCTTCGTAGCTGTATATCGGTAATCTGACACACACACATACACCTCTTCTCTTCTTATGTGCACATCCTCAAACAAACACTCACACATCTGCATCCACTGTAAGACGCATACACTCACAACACAGATTTCTGTTTCCTCATCACTTCACATATTCACAAGCCAAAGCACACACTTACACACAATGCACCGCTCACCCACTTAAAGAAACACACACACACACACACACACGCATCTTCCATTGTTGCCTGCAAACTATGTAACAATGCTGATTCCAAGGCAAAGGATTAAGATTGCGTTGCGTCTGTGGATGCCTGTTCTGATGCTGAGGATTGTGGTGGCTCACACTCTGGTAATGTATGAAACTCGCTCACACAAACTAGAATTACCCACTTATTGTAGCAAAGCATGAGAAACTGCCTAACTTTGTTTTTCTTTTTTCCTGGAGGATTCCCTGTTTGTTTAGATGTGAGCTGTTGTTAGAGAAATGCTTCTGAACTGGTTAGAGATGAATGTATCTGATGTGTTCCTGAACTGGTTAGAGAGAGTTCAGCTTAGATAGTGGTTGCTGGGGGAAATCTCTGTTAGATGAGTGTTGCAGAAGTGCTGTCATGCAAAAGACTTGTTGAGCTGGTATACTGTCAAGACATTTTATATAATTAATAAGAATTAGGAGAGTATTTGACTATTTGGGGGGGTTAGTCACCTTCTGCACAATGCCACTGACATTCATATTGAAATGAGCTTTTTACTTCAGGCTCTGTCCACACTACTGCGTTCTCGTTTTAAAATGTTTTGCTACGTTTGCACCTCCCATCCAGACTAAAATGGCAAAAACGAAGACTTAAAACGGAGAAGTTTGAAAACGCTGTCAACCCCGTTTTTTGTTTTAAAACTCTGGAGAGCATTTTAGTGCGGATGGGCAACAACGGAGGACTCTAGAAATGATTGCGCAGACGCTCACATTTTGCTCTCTGATTGGGTCTCATAAGTCATGCAAAGTAGAAATACGATGCTACTGATAGAGATTTTGACTTGGTAATTTTATTAAAATAATTTGTACCGTGCAAATAACGCCTACACTTGTGCTGTGTATGTCGCTTTGCGATGACTCCCAGTCTGTTTTCCGCTGCCACAGCCGCTTTTAACTCCCGTGTTAAATTCAGTAACAGTTCTAGCTCGTTATTGGTCCATGAAAAATAAAATCTGGTGTGGTTCTTCGTCTGTAGTTGTTTATTCTTTCGCCAAATCTTCTGTAACTACAGAATAGACCATCTGCTTCATGTTTACACCAGCATGCGTATGACCAGTGTACGTGAACGGCCACTACATGTGCGTTTTCAGTCATTTTAATATAGACAGAGATCAGCTCTGATACGCAGCTTAAACGCTGGTGTGGACCGAGACCGTATTTGTTTTAAAACTCCGTTTTTAAACTAAAATGGAGCGTAGTGCAGTGTAGATGGAGCCTCAGTCATGGACTTCAGTTTGATGATGAAACCTCATCTTTGTTTACTGTGTGTTTCTTTCATAGATCCAGGGCTCCATTCATCCACATGCCATCATCATTTTGCCAAACAGCGCTGGAACTGAGGTTCTGGTTTGCTACGAAGACGAGGGCGTCTACATCGACACCTACGGCCGCATCACCAAGGATACGGTGCTGCAGTGGGGAGAGATGCCTGCGTCGGTCGGTACGTTTCACTGGTACACACACAGACACAAGGGCGACACATATTGCTAAATGCACATGAAATGACAACAAAAGCACGAAGGTGTATTTTTCTATACATTGCTGCCAGATAAACAGTGTGTCTTTGTGGATTTGCCCATTTATTGTAACAATGACACATTCACACATTCACAAACTGAGATATGAATCACTTCGACAACTTAAGTTACTGCTCACTATCATTATAGTGTCTGACTAACTGATTCTAGATCAGCAGCTGTCCTGAGCACTAAGAAGTTACCCTGAACCAGATTCTACAAAGACAGATTTGGGACAGGGGGACTAAAAATAAGATGGTAGTGATTCTATATGTGTGAGTGTGTGAGTGTGCGCATGTTGGGTCTTGTAGTCAGTATTCTCTGTTTTAAGGAACTTCTCTGCCCATAGGGAATATATTTACTCATATACCAGTGTTTCCCATACATTGGATTATTTGTGCTGGCCTGCCACAATATCAACTCTGACCACCACATACCGATTTATTTTTACTATTTAAAATTGGTAAAATTGTATTTGATAGTAGAGCTGCAGCGCATATTTGCTCAGCACCTCCTCTTGCTCGCTCACTCCCGCTCAATCTCAAAAACACATTGACTACGGACCTGTCTGTGACTAGCCCCTCCTCTTTGTTTACAATCTCAATCAAAACATGATCATGCACTAGAAGAAGAATTGTTTCTAATCATGAACACTGCTGCACAAATGTGTCCTAAACTAAGACTAAGTTAGTCGGTCTGTTCTTAACACACCGCTGTCAATCTCTGACCACCATGTAAGGAGCCTAGTTAATAAGGATAACTATGTTAACGTTACAATACAGCTGCACGCCGTACATAGCTGCTACTCAACATGAGTGTTCATGCAATATCCCCACCCCCCGCTCTATGGGGAATCGCTGTGTACACACACTTTTCCTACAGTTTATAGCCATCTTTATTTTATTTCTGTATCCTCATATCCATGGCCCTCCCATGTCCTCCCTCTCTCTCTCTCTCTAGCCTACCTTCAGTCTAACCAGGTGATGGGTTGGGGAGAAAAGGCCATAGAGCTGAGGTCTGCCAACACGGGGAACCTGGAGGGAGTTTTCATGCACAAAAAGGCCCAGAAGCTCAAGTTCCTGTGTGAAAGGAATGACAAGGTAAGTTAAACTCTAAACTAGCAACACAAGTTCTTAATGGTCACAGCTGTAAAGTATTAATGTTTTGCCAATCGGATGCATTCTGCATTAGTATCAGTTTTTTTATTTCTCTTCTTGTAAGTCACTTGCACATCAAGTCATTCATTTAAAGTTTGAAGCTTAGATGTACATAAACATTCATTAAAACATGTTATTAAAAGTTTTTTTTTCCCTCTTCTCTTCCATTTAATAATGCAGATGTGATGTTATGACCCAGAACATTTAATTTCCTGTCATGCTCTTTTAATAAAGATCGATATCCATTAATAAACAATATAGTTTAAGTCTAGCTTGGTTGGTTTGGTTTGAGTAATTTTCCAGCTTGTTTTCTTCTGTCAGTTAGTTTTAAATCTAATATCAGGCAAAGGGTATTTAAAGGAGTATTATATATAGTATTATAAGGGTATTTAAAGTTTATTTTACTTTGTAAAAACTACAAATACCTAATTTACTATCAACACTAAGTATCATAGCTCTGTTTAAGGTATTACTGCATAGTAAACAGTTTGTTTTAATACATGTATCTTTTGTATTACACTAAAAACAATGTCTCTCATTTTTATTTCCATTTCCCACCATTTTATACATATAAACCTTGAGTTAACAATTTTTTGTTATCAAAATGTGACAGTAAGTCAGATTCACACCACCCACATTACTTGTCTGTGTCGAACAGTCTAACCTACTAATGCAGCCACACTAAGGTGTATTAATGAAAATACTGTAAATGTAAAATATAATTCCTAAACCTGTGTCTCTCTCTTGTTGCAGGTCTTCTTTGCCTCGGTGCAGTCAGGAGGCAGCAGTCAGATTTACTTCATGACTCTGGGACAGAACTCACTGTTCAACTGGTAACAACTGGACCTGTTACTCTGGGATCAACTGGTCGTGTCTCCCTTCATTACTCTGTTTGCACAGTGATGCCTATTTATATTTGTGCTGGCCGATGTTCATGGATAGTGGACACACCATGAAAAGATCAACTAAATACTCCTGGATCACCCGGAGTATTTAGTTAGTTTCCATGTAAATGCGCACAGTTGAGTTGATCATAACTCCGGCCGCAGTGAAACTGCTTGTATCCATCAGTCCGTCCTTGAATTCTAAAGCCTGAATAATATCTCCGACACAAAAATCTGGAACTAAAATTCGGAATGTAGTTGACTGCCAGCTCAACCATCCACGGACGCATTGAAAGGTACAACTAGCAGTGTCAGCATCACCACATCATCGGGCAACATCTGGCCTCAAGATCCCAGTCCTTCCTCTCATCTGTCAGCACTGGAGACCACACAAATCCGTTTAGTTTGGTCCACATTCAGCTCCTGGATCACTTTGATTTTTTTCCGTTTTAAAGGACTCCGTTGTATCAGTTACTCTGCTAATTATGTGTATATCAGTTAGTCACTCATATTTGCTTTAACAGCGTCCGGCTGTGATGCATTACTGGATCAGCTGCTTCCTTTTCATCCGATGAAGTCAAGTCTTTATACGTGCGTTATTAATCTCCAAGATTATAAGTAATGTTTGCATCTCTGTTGTCTGGTCTTCATGCAAGCAGCTTCTGTGTTAAAAGGAGTGAAATTAGAAGAACAGAAGTCCTTCATCAACCTCATTCACTCCATCAACATCATCTGGGCATTTCACAGACTGGGTGTGGACAAAGCAGGGCGTCTACTGTATGTCATTCCGCATTTTATTGTGCTATTGCTTGCCTTTTTATCCTGTGGATTTTCTTTAAACAATGTCGAGATCCACAAACCACAGTGACATCTGTCTCCAGTACCTCTGCAGTGTTATTTATGAAGGCCTTTACTAGTGTTTAGTTTTCTTCTTCACTGCTGTAAGCGGACATCAAGGACCCAAACAAATTAGTCACTTACTGTACTGAATCCTTATTTTGTTGATTGCCATGAAGCATTACTAGACAGTATTATATTACGCATTATCAAATGTTATATTATTAAAAGATGAGTTTCCTTTTTTCTTGCCTGAGGGTGAGAGTAATCCAGTATAACAACCTTCACAACATCGATTCAGTCAGTTATGTTTAACTATATCCTTAGCTGTAAATATTCTATCCGGGGGATCTTATAATAATGACAAATGTCAGAATTGAATCACTGCCGTGAAGACATATTTTCACAGACTTCAGACTATTCATTAGGTCATTCTGTCCCTAATTATGAGCTGAAAGTCAACTTTGCTCTCTGCGTAATGTGAAATCAGTCGCCAGTTAGGCAAAAAAAAGATCTCTTGGAATACATGCAGAATTGCACTTTTCATTAAAAAGTAGTTGGTTAGGGTTTTTATTAACAAAGTCTTAATACAGTACAGTCTTCTTAGGTCCCAGTTTGAGCACTCACTCCATCACCGGTCCAGACGTAATCTTCTAATCATCAAACATAACACCTTAAGAGCCCTGTGTACTTCACTATAGGAATTGCAGTTAATGTACAAAATAACTCCACAGTAACAGAGTAGAAATGTTTTCCTGCATCTGTTTTGTACAGCTTAGGATGTATATAATCTTGTAAGATGCACTGTTTTCTAAATGTTTTATAATCGAGAAGCCATCCTTTATGTGTGTGTACAGAATTCAAGGCTTATGAATGTGAAAGTCCATCCCAGAACAGAGTTCATATGTGTTATTTCCTTGATCTTTGAAAGTACTGTGGTTGTGAGCGTGAACATGAGCTACTGACAGTGAAGTTGTTCACTTTTACCAACCTGGCTGCCGTGTACAAGATCAAATAATGTGAATTCTGTTTTGTGGTTGATTTTCTACTGACGTGTCAGGCTCTTTGCACAATGGCCACCTTGTACATGTTTTCTTTAATATATCCTCAATTACTTTTTTGGTTTAAAGTGGAAACATTCAAAGTCATTATATAGTCAGTAATGAAGGTATAACTGATAGCCTTTGGCTCTGGATCAGTATTTCCTACACTGCCCACCATGAGACACACCTGTTTTAGATGGGTCACCTTGAGAAATGATTTGAGCCCAGATCTGACGAGATGCAATGAACTGGGCTGAAAAAAGTGAAAATGCCTTGTTGTTTAGTGTTTGCTCTGTTTTCCTTGATATTTCCTCATTTAAACAATTAGCTTCAAAGCATTAAACCTAACCTTGAATCCAACTGTGTAAGATAATTCACAAATCAGAACTGTTTGACTAAATAGATTAGATGTTTCTCTAAACCAAAATTTATATTATTAAATACTATACTAAAGACACCAACTAGACCAACATGTCAGACAGATGGAGGCATGAAAAATCTCCCAGGAATGCTGTGTCTAGCTAAATTTCAACAAAATGTATGCAACTTAACATTACTAGTGTTAATATATTTAATAGCGTGTACGCTTTAGACAGTGCTAAGTGAAGAAATAATTGGTTCTTACCTTCAAATGTGAATTTATGCAATTTATCCATTTCTCATCCATTTTTATTAAACCATTTTTTCATTCCTTCCTTGGATTTTGCTCAAATTGCTATCTTAGTTGGGTTTTGTGCTACATTATCCACTATATTATATTAACTCTGAATGTTGAGGCTATCAAAATTTGCGCCAAATGTTTTATATACAGTACAGTGATACTCTGAGTTTTAGTTTTTATAATGGACTTGATAGAAATATTGCAGCTGGTTCTGTGAGAATATTTTAAACTGGAAAAATGAACTTTCTGTCTTATTGTTAAGCTGTCTTCGAATATCTTATAGTATTTGTTTCAGTGGAGTAGTTGTTATTTCTCCCTGAGAGAGCAGACCAGAAAGCTAGTTAACATGGCTGAAGTGCACAGAAATACAGGATTGCAAACTAATGGAACAGGCTAACAGACGTAGAATTGCTTGCTAACATAGGATAACTTGGGCCAAATAGTTACAGAACTACAAAATTGTCTAGTTAACATTTGTAACTAGTTAGCATATGGCTAACTAGCAAGCCCCTCTCTACGTAGATAGTGTCATATTTTCTCTTTGTACACAGCTAACCACCTGTGTACAGTTTTCATATGAGATAAAAAAAAAAAGTGAAACTATAGTTCACATACCATGTTTAAAATATAAAATTGGCAAAAATGTTTTGAGACATATGTGCATTTAGATTTACTGTATATGTGAATATTATTTAGAAAGCCCTGTGCTAGCTTATGGTCAGCTCATATATCGTGGCTGGCATAGCCCCGGCAGGTTTTGGCCAGGTTCCTGAGCAAGACCCCAGCCATCAGAGTCCAAACGGGACAGGAGACCACGCTAGAACTAGTCCAGACATTGCCACACAGTGGTTCCAGCATGTGTTCAGCTCTGACTTACATTCACATAGACAATGTACAGTAGCTAGCCTGTTCCACTATCCAGCACTCTCTCATAGATGTCTGGTTAGCAACACTGCACGTGGTTCTATTAAGCAGTAGTTAACAGATTGTTCTTTTTTTTAAATCAGTCTTTAGACCGGTCAATTTGATTTAATTGATTTAATTACAAAGCAAAGTTCGGAAAAAGCAATAATGTTTATCTTTGAGTACCACTGATTTATCATTGTTTTGTACTTACATTACCATGATAAATTTTATCGGATGAGTTGATATATGGAAGTATATAAAACAGGTTTCTGTCCTCATACTGTCAAGTTTGAGGTCAGAACAAAGGTTAACATATTTAGCTTGCTTTCTCTACATTATTCCATGTGTATTATATCCACAAATATTACCCTAAATGTGCCAATTTGATATGTTTGATATATAACATCATGTTTTATCTGCATCATTCTTCATCCTGCTTTAAGAAACAAGATAGAAAGCAGTTCTGCTTCAAGCTATCTAGAGCCAGTGTCATACGGCCATACCTAATGATGCGCTACGTACACACACAAACACACACTAACATATATACAGACATTATTGAGACACAATGAGGACACTTTTGTGGGTTATTAGTCTTCTCCGTATTCCCCTGCACCATGTCTTCCTGTGCTGAACATTTGACTGTAGCTGTAGCACTAATGAGAGCGAGAGATCAATGCACTTCGCCTACACCTTCCACTTTTTAAGATGATGAGAGATTCTGTTTCAGGCCCTCAGTGACTCACTTCTTCAACTCTTTTTCTCTCACTAGTCAACACGTCTCTTCTTACCATTGCCTTTCCATTCTCTCTGCATCTTTTGCTGAAATCTCCCCTCCTCTCCCCATCTACATCTGTCTTGCTCTCTGTTAACGTTCTCTGGCCCTTTTGTTCCGATGTCTCTCTTATAGCTTTCCATCGTCTCTCTTTCTCCCGTCTCAGATCTGTCCTTCCACCCCAAGGCCTGTTGAATGACTTTTCAGCCTATACAGGAAATGTTTTATTTTTGTTTGTGTCACTGGATTAGTTGGGGTGGGAAAGTATTTCTATTTCTACATCTTTATATCTTTTTATTTAGTTACATCATCAGAAATGTGACAGTTGAGATGCTCAAGCAAAATTGCACTCACTGCTGCGTATCTGATTCTTTCCATTATAACATGACATTACCCATCTATATTACATCAAATTCATTTGCCATAATTTACCAACTTAAGAGTATCTAGAGTCTGATGAACAGTTGGCCAAACCCTGGCTGTTGCTGACTGGTGAGGTGGGATGAAGTATGATGCAGATGAAAGCTAATACAAAGCAGCTCAAATTTGTTGCATAAGATTTGTTATGTTACATTAAAGTGTGTGCCCAACTGTGGCTACAAGTATAGGTTATGGGATAAAGGTCAATGCTAAAACAGCGTAACTGTAGCACTGGTAGAAAAGAGCCAATGTCAGTGGACTAGTAAGGACAAGTAATGTCAGTTACACAGCCATATCCATTCAAAGTTCAATAACATTAGCTACCGTTAGCCACTATAAGCGGTAATACCAGACCAAGTCAGTGGAGGCAAACCACCTTTATTGATGAACTGAATTCATCAAGGGTGCGTTTTATTGTTTATTAATTCAGTTTTTAATTTGTAATAGGAGGAATATCTCTTCTTTCAAAAGTGAGCGCTACAGCTGTTATTTTTCAGCCTGCTGAGCAAAAGTCTGAGGATGAGCTATGCGGTTATAAAGAAAGTGTTTGTGTGGGAGGTTGAGGTAGATATGGAGCAGGTGTCCAATGAGAAGGAATTCAGTCTGCAATTGAAGGAAGGAAAGAGTTGGAGGAGGTAGTTGGTGGATTGAGTCAGGTGTCAGGTAATAGATGATGGATGATGCACAACTTTAAGTGGCTTTTTACTGTAGCATCCAGTAATCCTTCTTATTAAAAAGTCAATTTCAAAATAACAGTGGGGGAAGAAATTGTTGAGTGTAAAATCATTTTATGTATCAGAGCAAATAGCGAGACCAAACTGCATATGTGGATTGAGAATGTATAGATAGTGATTCTTATGATGGGGAGAAAGTGAGGATGTGAAAGAGAATGGCTGAAATTATGATGAGCCTTTTTCAGTTTGCATAAATTGTGGATTGTAAAGACAAGTTGAGATCATATACCAAATATTATATAGATACATATTTAAGAATATATATGTTCTCCTTCATTCCTGTACCATTATAAAGTTGATCATTTTGTTACTTTGTTTTATTTTTTTTGCACTGGACCTATGTTTGATCTTCGCATCATATACTGTACCCCTCCTGCTTTGAGATGAACACACGCTAACTTGTGTTTCCATGTAAAGAGGCAAAAGACAGCGAGACAACAATAAATAACAACAATAAATATGTTGAATAGAGTGGTGTGTTTGCTTTCAAGGTCATACTGACAACATTATGTTTTCTACCCACTGACTCACCAGAAACTTTTAATCCAACTCACTTCTGCAACGCTAAAGCACAGGTTTATCTGTTGAACACACTGCCTCTGTCAATGTGACTGCAGAAGCATTCGCATTAGATTTTCCTATTATGACAAGATCTACTGATACCTTTGTCTTTTTTAAGTCAAATGAACAATTACCATAATCACCAAATTGCCTTACAGTGAATTTCTGAATGGACGAGTAGAGGCAACTGGCTTTAAATCAGCATGGTGGGTGTTTTTCTACGACAGCTCCTCTCTTTGCCACTGTTGTTTGCAAACCAATAAATTACAATCAACAGTGAATCAACAAGACTCGCCGATGAGATCGTACGTCGGCATTAAATGTAACGCTTGGAAAAAGCAGCCAGCGTGCAGTGGTGTGTTTACAGCGAACAGCCAGTTCATTTGCCTAATCTGCGCAAGTCTTTAGGCCGCTGTGGAAATGCACACAACAATGGGCTGAAGGAACCTTTTAGTTCCTTGGAAAGAGAAACGCAGTGGAAACACGGCTTAAGTAGCATGGCACACACCAATATTTATGTGAAGTATTCTAACATTAGGCACGATAACCTACTGGTCATACCAGACCAAATACTGTAAGACTGTAGCAGCAATAATTTTATATCTATCTATCTATCTATATATATATATACACTGCTCAAAAAAATAAAGGGAGCACTAAAAAAAACAACACAATGTAACTCCAAGTCAATCACAGTCCTGTGAAATCAAACTGTCCACTTAGGAAGCAACACTGACTGACAATCAATTTCACATGCTGTTGTGCTAATGGAATAGACAACAGGTGGAAATTATGGGCAATTAGCAAGACACCCCCAATAAAGGAGTGGTTCTGCAGGTGGTGACCACAGACCACTTCTCAGTTCCTATGCTTCCTGGCTGATGTTTTGGTCACTTTTGAATGCTGGCGGTGCTTTCACTCTAGTGGTAGCATGAGACGGAGTCTACAACCCACACAAGTGGCTCAGGTAGTGCAGCTCATCCAGGATGGCACATCAATGCGAGCTGTGGCAAGAAGGTTTGCTGTGTCTGTTAGCTTAGTGTCCAGAGCATGGAGGCGCTACCAGGAGACAGGCCAGTACATCAGGAGACGTGGAGGAGGCCGTAGGAGGGCAACAACCCAGCAGCAGGACCGCTACCTCCGCCTTTGTGCAAGGAGGAGCAGGAGGAGCACTGCCAGAGCCCTGCAAAATGACCTCCAGCATGTGTCTGCTCAAACGGTCAGAAACAGACTCCATGAGGGTGGTATGAGGGCCCGACGTCTACAGGTGGGGGTTGTGCCTACAGCCCAACACCGTGCAGGACGTTTGGCATTTGCCAGAGAACACTAAGATTGGCAAATTCGCCACTGCCCTGTGCTCTTCACAGATGAAAGCAGGTTCACACTGAGCACATGTGACAGACGTGACAGAGTCTGGAGACGCCGTGGAGAACGTTCTGCTGCCTGCAACATCCTCCAGCATGACCGGTTTGGCGGTGGGTCAGTAATGGTGTGGGGTGGCATTTCTTTGGGGGGCCGCACAGCCCTCCATGTGCTCGCCAGAGGTAGCCTGACTGCCATTAGGTACCGAGATGAGATCCTCAGACCCCTTGTGAGACCATATGCTGGTGCGGTTGGCCCTGGGTTCCTCCTAATGCAAGACAATGCTAGACCTCATGTGGCTGGAGTGTGTCAGCATTTCCTGCAAGAGGAAGGCATTGATGCTATGGACTGGCCCGCCCGTTCCCCAGACCTGAATCCAATTGAGCACATCTGGGAGCTCATGTCTCGCTCCATCCACCAACGCCACATTGCACCACAGACTGTCCAGGAGTTGGCGGATGCTTTAGTCCAGGTCTGGGAGGAGCACCTCATCAGGAGCAAGCCCAGGCGTTGTAGGGAGGTCATACAGGCACGTGGAGGCCACACACACTACTGAGCCTCATTTTGACTTCGGCCTGTAGTGTGGTTTTCCACTTAGATTTTAAGTGTGACTCCAAATCCAGACCTCCCTGGGTTGATAAATTTGAATTGTGACCAAACTGTGATTTTGTTGTCAGCACATTCAACTATGTAAAGAAAGGAGTATTTAATGAGATTATTTCATTTATTCAGATCTAGGATGTGTTATTTTAGTGTTCCCTTTATTTTTTGAGCAGTGTATATACACACACACACACAGTGGGTATAGAAAAGAATCACCCCCTGTAAAATAATCACATTTTATTGCTTTGCAGCCTGAAATGAAGACAGACACAATTTGTTTCATTCAGCTGTATTTACTCAGTGCAACTTATAACATCCAAGTGAAAGATATAACTCCAACATGTCAGAAAACAATAAATAAACAATAATAATAATAAATAATCCCTGAGTGGGAAAAAGGATCACCCCCATTTCTCACATTTCTACCATCTTAGCTCCTTTGGTGGGAAACACGCCTCACCACGTCCAAAACTCTACTGACTTTGTAAACAAAGTTTGAGGACTAAAACTGGACCCAGATGTAACCATGGTATCCTATGACGTGACTTGAAACGGCTAACACAAGACAACACCCTGGAATACAGAACTAGCCTCAGCCCTGACCAAATCTGTAAATTACTCGACCCTTTGTCTAAACACCACCTGATTTTAACCTTCGTTGGATCACCCCCTGGTTTCACCATTTTGTTGAACCACCTTTTGCTTTAATTACAGCCTTTAGTCTGTTGGGATATGTCTCTACTAACTTTAAACATCTAGACGTTGCAATATTTGACCACTCTTCTTTGCAGAGCTGCTCAAGTTCAGTTCAATTTGATGGTGACCGTTTGTGGACAGCTGTCTTCAAGTCATTCCACAGATTTTCATTGGGGTTTAAGTCTGGGCTCTGACTAGGCCATGCAATGACATTCACCTTTTTCTCCTTCAACCACTGTGTGGTCAGTTTTGCTGTGTGCTTTGGGTCATTGTCATGTTGGAAGGTAAATCTTCTTCCCATTGACAACTTTTTGGCAGAGAGCTGCAGATTTTCCTCAAGAATTTGACAGTATTTTGCCTCATCCATTTTTCCTTCTATCCTGACAAGTGCTCCAGTCCCTGCTGCAGAGAAACGACCCCATAACATATTACCACCTCCTTGCTTTACTGTAGGAATGGTGTTATTAGGATGGTGAGCTGTATTGGATTTTCACCAGACATATCGTTTGGCGTTGAGGCCAAACAATTCAATTTTAGTCTCATCTGACCATAACACCTTTTTCCACGTGGCCTTAGAATCTTCAAGGTGCGTTTTGGCAAAGCTCAGTCGTGACTGCATGTGGCCTTTCTTGAGGAGTGGCTTTTTTCTTGCAACCCTCCCATACAAGGCACATTTGTGGAGAATTTGTGATATTGTTGTCACACACACACAATGACCAGTCTTTGTCATGAATTCCTGCAACTGCTTCAGAGTTGCTGTAGGCCTCTTGGACCAGTTTCCTCCTGGCTCTTTCATCCAGTTTGGAGCGACGTCCTGACCCAGGGAGGGTCTGTGTTGTACCAAATACCTTCCACTTATTAATAAAAGACATCACTGTGCTTCTAGGCACTGATAAAGCCTTTGAAATGTTTTTGTATCCATCTCCTGACTTGTGCCTGTCCACAACTTTATCCCGGAGATCTTTTGACAATGCCTTGCCACCCATAGTTGATTGTTGTCTTCAGTTGCACTACCAAGGACTGAAATGCTTCAGGAAAAGCTTGTTTCATGCTGAGCTAATCAAAATGACCACTGTTGTGGTACTGCAGAATCTCCCCACTACCTTGTGTTTTGTTCCCCCCTTCCCTGTGTTTTCTGTCTGTCCTCCCTGTCTGTGTTTGTCTGGGCGTGGTTACACTTGCTGGCTCCAGCGGCGACCTGGTCCTCATTCCACTAATCAAGCTCCTGCAGTATTTCAACCCCAGTCCTCCTCACATTCTTCACCAGATCGTCAGTTAACCACATGTGGTACATGTGTCAAGGCCAACTGTCTACTCCAGTAAGATTCCTTGTAATTTCTGTGTCTCCCTGGATTAACATGTTTTTCTCTGTGCCCAGGATCACACTACCTCCGGGAACTCTGCTGAACGCCACACCCCGCTCTGCTCACATCTTGCCTGGACAAACTCCCCTCCTCCGTGTTCTCCATTCTGCCCTGTTGGAACCTACCACCCAGTCTTCCGTTGCACTTTTCAATAAAACCCTTTGTTACCCCTTCGAACTGTTCCGAGTCTGCCTTGAGTCCTTAAGTTCTTGTATTATGACAACCACAGCTGATCACAGTTGAAAGTCAATTGGCTTTGTGTGCTATTGAGAAGGTGATTAACTACACCTGGTTGGGTTTTACAAGTCATTTTTAGGAGGGGGGTGATTCTTTTTCCAACTCATTGATTCTGTTTTTTGTAAAAAATAAAAATAAAAATTCTGACAAGTTGGTATTATATCTTTCACTTGGATGTTATAAGTTGTAAATACAGCTGAATGAAACAAAAACTGTGTCTGTCCATTTTCATTTCAGGCTGCAGAGCAACAAAATGTGATTATTTTATAGGGGGGTGATTCTTTTCTATACCCACTGTGTGTGTGGGTGTATATATATATATAAAAATAATGGATTTGTCCCTAATTTCTTACAATTGGGCCATGACTATGAAGGGGATGCTTAGTAGAGATGAGGAATGATAATAGCCAACAATAACTTTTTCTCTGTACACATCATATTTAAGCATTGTTTTAAGATAGACTACAAAAAAAACAACCTATCCTTTAATGTCTTTAAACCTGTCAGTTGCTGGAAGAGGCATTCAAGTTGGTTTCCTGTAGTACATTTCATATCACTTGTCGTTGATATTGACATTTCTGTGAGTACACTGAGTACTTACATTGCAGGTTTTGAAGAAGTCAGTCATCCTCTAGCAGGTTCACAGGG